GTTAGTATTTTTGTGGAAAAGCTTCGATCTATTCTCGGTTGGGGGGGGGGGGGGGGATTAATACTTGAAGTTTAGGCTTTCTATGAGGGGCAACTGCCCCCTGAGATTGACGCTCTGTTTCGAGTGATTTTATGCTCGGTTAACGAACCTGCTTTAAATTGAAGAAGAAAAGGAGTTATTTATATTATTGGTAGAAATACATCTAGGGTTATCAATGTTATAATAATACATAATCATACAGTGTTATTGTTGGCCAAATCAATTTTCGACAATAGATATAGGATAGTTCGTAGGCTGGAATTATGACGAAAGGGCAAAAAGTGGATTTTTATCGCAGGTCGTGCCATGTTATTGCTATTACCTCATAAATGAATGAATAGATGAATGAATGAAGAACTTAGATACCAAACAAAATGATCCCAATAACGAATGCCATGAAAACATTAATTTAGGTAACTGAACATCGGAGTACTAATTTTAGTCTATAATCATTTGAAAATATAAGAAGAAAACTATCCTAAACAGGTAAAGGAAAACAAGACAGGAGAGATAATCATATGAATATCCATTTTCTGAGTATGATGATGAGCTCAAGGGAAGAATTCCTATCTCTGCCATGTTAGGAGTATAACCGAGCAGAAAGGGAGTCTTTCTCTCAATATAGAGCGATCTTTCCCTCTGATAGCTTCCCGCGATAGATAACTGTCTCCCTTACTCGGCTTTCTCGTTCTTCATTTAAATGTCATCTAATAGAAAGAGGGATGAGAGAGAGAGAAAGGGAGGCAAAGGAGGAAATTCAATAGACAAGCAGGATTAGATTGCTGGCGGTGGAAAGTGGGCGAGACAAGAGGAATAATACATTGAAGAGACAGGGAGAGGAAGGGAGCGGGAAAAGAGATAAAGAGAGAGAGAGAGAGAGAGAGAGAGAGAGAGAGAGAGAGAGAGAGAGAGAGAGAGAGGGGAGGAGGGGAGGGGGAGATAAAGGGGAAAGAGAGAGAGAGAGAGAAAGAGGGGCGGATAGGGAGGAGGGAGAGGGGACGCAAAGGTGGATGAGAGAAGGGGGATAGAGGGAGGAGAGAGAGAAGAGGGCGGATACGGAGGAGGGAGAGAGAGAGAGAGAGAGAGGGGTGAGGTCAGGGGGAGAGAGGAGAAGAGAGTACAAAAATATACCATGGTAACCATGTTTTTTTTGTCCAAATTTTTTGGTACCAAAACAATGAAATACATTGGGTCATTAAACAATGTATTTCATTGTTTTGGTACCATGATAACCATGGTTACCATGGTGGATGGTAATTTGGACAAAAAAAAACCAAATACCATAGTACTTTTTTGTAAGGGCTAGAGAGAGAGAGAGAGAGAGAGAGAGAGAGAGAGAGAGAGAGAGAGAGGGGGGGGGGGGGGGGAAGGGAGGGGTGGAGTATAGGATAGGAGACAAATTAACAAGACAAGGAGAAAATTATTGAGAGTTACACATAGAGGCATAATTAAAATGGTTATTCAACAAATAAAATGAGCTAATAGAAACAGAGTTGGACATTGAACTGCCCAGTGGTGGATTTATGTTAAGAAAAAAAAGAAAAAGGAAAATATATATGTGAGGTGAGAAGTTAAAAATTATCAAAACGTCATAACAAGAATAGGAAAACAGAGAGAATTGATTGATGGTGTTGTATTGATAAAATTCAAGAAGAAAGGAATAAATGCACGAAGAAGTGTGCTAGGAGTAGAAGAAATTAATCACCTCCGTGTAAGCAATAGAATAATAAGTTATTTTTTAAACAAAATTGAATTAGTATATTGACAACATCATGATGGAATAGTCACTTTCATGATTAATGTTGCTATCAAGCAGATAGCGAAAGTATCAAATTATTTTGGTTATCTGGTAAAAGTAATGGTGGAGACAACATTTCTCATACAGAAAATTGATAATAATAATAATAATAATGATGATACATATTTATAAAGCGCACTTATCTAATCATAACTCAAGGCGCTATACAAAACAAAAATACACAAATCTCTCTCCAGAATTTAACAACATAATATCATTAGTAACTCTGAGTAAATAAAAGCTTTTTAACATGTTTCTGAAAGGTTTCTGGGCATTGAATGTTTCGGATCTATACCTTCATAATGTGATGGCGAAATACATAACGGCAAGAAAAAGGGAGACAGATTGCATGCATTATGATGATGAGAAAGAGGAAAACAGATGGAGAGGGACAAGATAAGGCAGATTCTCTCATCTCCACAATCTGAGAATCTTGCCTTGCATGTAACTGACTCCATCGCTCGGTTTGCTCGTCCTTCATCTAAATGTCATCTAATGGAGAGAGGGATGGGAGACAGCCAGCAGAGAGAGGAAATTCAATAGACGGAGGGATTATTGTCTGGTGAGGCAGAGACAGAAGCGAGAGGAGATCGAGACGAGGAGAGGTAGGGAGAGAGAGGGAGTTGGAGGAAGTTGGGGGGGGGGGGAAGAGATGGAGACAGAGAAAGATAGAGATGAAGAGAGAGTGAAAGAGAGAGTGAAAGAGAGAGAGAGAGAGAGAGAGAGAGAGAGAGAGAGAGAGAGAGAGGGAGAAAGGAAGGGGTTGGGGGGGGGGGGGGCAAAGAGACAGCAGAGAAACAGGAAGAACTGTTGTTATGGTAACCAAGGGAAAGGAAGATAAAGACTATGCAAGGATTGCCGTTTTAATAAAAACAGAATAGCACAAGTAGGCAGGAAGGACATTGAACAGGGGGAAGTCAGGAATAGAGATACAAACCCGACTGCACGAAAGAGGAATATAATTATGTTTAATGAGGTCATAAAAAGCAAAATCAGAGAGGAGAATAAGAGGAGACTAAACTAGGACTATAATTATGATGAAGATAACAAAGAGATTACCTTAGGGAAAACATTGAAAAAATAGAGAGAGAGAGAGAGAGAGAGAGAGAGAGATGGAGAGCGGAGGTAGATAGATAAATAGATAGCGAGAAAGAGAGGGGGAGAGAGAGAGAGAGAGAGAGAGAGATGGAGAGCGGAGGTAGATAGATAAATAGATAGCGAGAAAGAGAGGGGGGAGAGAGAGAGAGAGAGAGATGGAGAGCGGAGGTAGATTGATAAATAGATAGCGAGAAAGAGAGGGGGAGAGAGAGAGAGATGGAGAGCGGAGGTAGATTGATAAATAGATAGCGAGAGAAAGAGAGGGGGGAGAGAGAGAGAGAGAGAGAGATGGAGAGCGGAGGTAGATTGATAAATAGATAGCGAGAAAGAGAGGGAGAGAGAGAGAGAGAGAGAGATGGAGAGCGGAGGTAGATTGATAAATAGATAGCGAGAAAGAGAGGGAGAGAGAGAGAGAGAGAGAGAGAGAGAGAGAGGAGGGACTTGCATGATGATAAATAGAGTGGAGAGTGCAGTATGGTGTGTAAGACAGTAATCAAAGGGTTGAAGAAAGGAGAGAAATTGCTCTGAGAGTAGAAGGTAGATGTGGAAGAGACTGCATGTTGCAGTAAGGAAAAAGGAGAGTGAAAGAGAGAGAGCAGCCAGTAATAAAGAGAATTGAGCACATAGGTACAAACGATACTGAAAGAAGAAGAAAAGAAGAGGATGATGGGAGAAATAGGAAAAGAAAATGAAAAAGAAGAAAAAGGAGAAGAAAATTAAAATGAAGAAAAGGAAGGATGAAGAATAAAGTGAAAAAGAAGAAAAGTAGAGGATGTTGAAGTAACAGGAGAAGAAGAAAATGAAAAAAAAAGAAGAGGAAGAAGAAGAAAACGAAAATCAAGAAAAGAAGAGGATGGAGAACAAAAAGGATAAGAAAATGAAAAAAGAAGAGGAAGAAGTAACAGAAGAAGAAAATGAAAAAAAGAGGAAGAAGAAACAGGAAAAAAAAAATTAAAAACGAAGAAAAAGGAGAGGAAAATGAAAAATGAGAAAAGAAGAGGAAGAAGAAGAAACAGAATTTGTAATGAAGGGATGAATAAAATCAAATAGAGGAATATGGACCATTTCGGAAACAACGAGGAAGAGAGATGTGTAGGTAGTAAAGAGATGCAGCTTAAATTATAATGTGTTGTGATCTATGGATTCAACAGAATAAAGCAAAGAAATTCTTAATGGAGAAAGATTCAGTATCCCTACAATTAATGGTAAAATATAGATGGTCTATATAATATGCATTCAGGAAATTGTTAAGCCCCCCCCCTCCCCCTTATAAAAAAAGAGGAATACTTAGAATGAAAAATATATGTGTTATTTGCTGTATAGAAGGGGCAGGTTTCATGGAATTATATTCAGGCTTTCTCATGTAGATGTATTTTTATATTTTGTATAATGATGTTGAACTGTCTAGTCTGTCATCGAACTGAATTTTGATCATTCCAATGCAACAACCCACGTAGACACAGCACAAAGAGACTAAAAACTGAATTTGTATTTGTAACTTGCTTTATTTCAAATAGATATATCAATTTGAAGGGTTTAAAAGATTCATAAGAATCAAAATGCTGAAAAAGTTCATCATGTCAAAAGGCAAATATGTATGGAACATGCTGAAATTTATTCATAAAGACATTTTGGAAGTTCATCGGAAGTGGGCAAGAAAAGCATTTAAAATAACTAGCAAGTTGTACCTGAACCATGAAAACAAATAAATATGACATTTCATCACACTTATAATTCTGTTCAAAATAGATTGAAAATTAGAACTCTAAACAATAAAAGTAAAATTATGGTTGTATTTTACACAATATTAAAAAACAAAAAAATGTACATTTAGGCGACATTTCCAAGCTTGTTCTTTGTGTGACAAGTGTGACTTTAATTCAATTCTTATTAGAAAAGGATAACATTTTCATAGTCTTTGCAAATATGGCAAGATATGCAAACATTTAAAGGAAACACTCAATTTAAAGAGAGATTATATCATATAGTATTGCCTTTTTTCCCCCTCCATTGATTCATTTTCAGTCTGAAATCCGCAATCAAATGGCAATAGTTTATCTCCTGTTCTACAGGAAGATATGCATCTTGAAATAGTAAATCTAAAATAATGAAACTTGAGTTGGTGAACTTTGAATGAGTGAGATAAAAATTCTGATATTCATAAACATCCTTTTGATCAACAGAACACTGTGATTGTTGCTCATTTCGTTTATCTGAAATAAATTATTTACAGACAATCTGCACCATAGAATGATGAGTTAGAATGATGGCAAACCATAAATGCTGCACAATTTCATTACTATTTGTCAGCAGAGAAATACTAAATTTCTTCTGGTCCAAAATATTGATGCTATCATTGACTTCTCATGGAGCAAAACTCAACACAAACACGATACAAATCTATTCAGTTAATTTATGAATATATATTTGTTCATATTTTAGAGAGCTCTCTAACTGAGCGACAATTTAGAATGATGGCACACCATAAATGTTGCAGTTTCATTACTTTTTGTCAGCAGAGAATACTACATTTCTTCTGGAACAAATTAATGATGCTATCGTCGACTTCTCATGGAGCAAAACTCAACACAAACACGATAAAAACCTATATAATTCATTTCATTTATACATATATATTTTTTCATGTTTCAAAAGGCTCTCTAACTGATTCAGAGCAAAATCAAATGAATCGATTTGGAACTTTCTAAAAACTAACAAGCTAATGTCGCAGAATAGCTCCAGCAAACATTTCCTAAGCCACCACAGCCACTTATCTTGTGACTTTAATAGAGAAGATCTACTTGGTATCACAGAGCAGAGCCACGCCCCTCAGAGTCCAGTGGTCCGGTGAAGGAGTGGTCCTCAGTATAACGAAGGTGATGAAAGTGAGATCTGTACGACAGGGTTTCTTGTAGACGGGACACTGGTAGAGACGAGGATCTTTAGGGGCGGTGGAGTTGATGGCAAACATGTGGATCACTGGAAGGAGGGTGAAGAGGACCTTTGGAGTGGGTTCCGTCAACTTGGCACCACGTCGGTCCCAGCCGGCTCCGTCGAGGTACAGACCATGGACGTATACTCCTTCCTGCATTCGGACAATGAAAAGTCAAGTAGAGGAATTAAAGCTTTTGATATTAAATATTTAAAATATTAAAATAAACAATCACTAGACTGGTACGTAGTTCAAGGCCATTCAACCTTAGTAGTTATTTTTTTTCAGGATCCATGCAAAGGATGTTCTATTTTGAAGTCTATACATTTTTAATTGTTCTTGAAAACATTACATTCAAAAGTAAGTAGCATGGTGAAATACGACAAAATATAAATACAAAGATATAAATTATAGTCCAATTTTTATTTATCTACATCTTGAACATGCCTGGTGATACTCTGACCTTGCTCATGCCTTGCGACCCTAGAATAGCAGGTGTTTTTGTTATCAAGCTAATCATACAGTCTTCTAATGTCAAAGTATTACAGAACTACCAAATCAGTAACTATTGCAATATTCTTTCATACTTTCATTCATTTCTTTCATCCTTTCATCACCAGTTATATTGAGGGTCATTAAAACAGCAGACATTGTGTACTTAATCATGATATCCACAATGGCACTTACATTAGGGGGTGCACAAATTTCTTCTTTGAATGACTTTGTGACATCATTGTGCAAGGTGACAGAATCCAAGGCCCAACCCTTGTGAGCCCTTGTCACTTCCTGCCGCATGGCTGTCAGGAATCCTGTGCAATAAAGGACAAGTACAAGCAGAACAGAATTATATTATGGGTGCATTGATCTTGGTGCAAGTTTATAGGAATTGATTTGTATTCCTACCTGACTGCCACACTAATCTTGATTAAACTGTGGCCATTAAGTTTGAACTTTTCCAAAAATGTATATACAGTCAAACCTGTCTATTGCGAGCGCCCAAGGGAAACACAAAAAGTGGTCTTTGCAGACAGGTTCCTTTAATACATGTTTCAATGAGAAACCATTTTCAAGGGAAACTAAAAATGTGGTCCTTGTAGACAGGTGGTCTTTGTAGACAGGTGGTCAATTAAGCAGGTTTGACTGCATATATGCACACAGCTGATGATAAAATAAAATCATGTACATCTATACAAAAGTTGAATATACATGGACACTAGCAAAATACAAAATAATGTTTCATTACGATATTAAATTTACGAAAATAAAAGCATAAGGGTCCAGAGGAGAGGAGAGTGTGGAGAGGCCAGAATCAATCTCCCTATGTGCTAATTACAGTATGTTCAAGAATATTTTGTGTGTGCCATGAAGTCTTTCATCTTATGCATCTTTTGATACAAACACTTAATTCCAACCATCAAGTACCTCTAACAGTGTTCAAATCCTGCTTAAAAGATTAAATACTACATATATAACTTGTGGGTTGAAGAATCCAGTCATCCAGAAGACACAAGGTCTACCTTCAAAGCACCATGAAAAGCACTGACCGCTTTATCGAGCTCCGTAAACCAGAGTACAGGATTTCCTGTAACACCTACCTTAACAGTGTCAAGTACTACTTATAAGATGAAATACATATGAACTTATTTGCTATCTACCTTGCGGATTGAAGAATCCAGTCATCCAGAAGACGCAAGGTCTACCTTCAAAGCACCATGAAAAGAACTGACCATTCCTTTCAATGAGCTCTGTAAACCAGAATCCCAGAGTAGACGACTCCCAAGATACTTTCTTCCACAGGGCCGGAACACGGGCATCGTACATATTGTCAAGAGCATCTCGTAAGTTCTGAATAGTGATGAAAACATGTAAGAATAATGGAGGATATCTTTGAAATTTTCTAAAAGAATACAAAAGAAAACATTTTTTTTTGCAAGGAGTACATGCTGTAACTGACTTTAACGTGGAAATAATGGCATTTATGATTTAAAACATCTACAGGAAATAACAAAGTTTTGACATGTTACAAAAAGTTTGTATCAATTTCTCAAAATCTATTTACTGTGATGATCTCAAAAGCAGTTGTTTTAATCATATATAATTCATTTCAATACCAAACATGTGAAATATCTATATACGGTATGCAATAAAATACAGATAAAATTGACAGGTGGTTTAGTTAAATCATATTTCATCAAATAGATTACAAAGAGAATAGTGGCTGCCCATACAAAATATATTTAATATAACTGTGAATTTGTGTATGGATAGATTTATTCATTCTATTTTATGAGAAGATACCTAATGACAAGGAAAAACAATGTCTTATTAGCTTAACATATGTATCTGCATCAAAATCATTAAAAAACCTAATACATGTTTTTTTTTAATATTTACAATTGTATAACGAGCAAGTTATTCTTTCTGCAATGCATACAAACTCAATATATATATGCCCACCTCACTCATGATGATGGTGCCCTCTATAGCCAGTCTGAGATCAGTGAGTGTGGTACGTACAAGACTGATAACACGCTGCATGCGATCTAACTCCTGACGAAGGAAGATGTTCATTGAAGTCAGGGCTCCCATCTTCACTAGGCGAGCTTTGACCTGTCAATTTGAATAGTGTGAACAAAAATTAGGGTCAATGTTTAATAGTTCCCAACAACCTTGCGTTATGCATACCGGTACTCTGCTAAACATCAATTTATCTTGTGAAGTCAAAGTTAAAGCTGTTTTTTAACATTTAAACTGTATGTAAAAAGTTTCGCTGTGCAAAATCAGCCCAAAATGGTATAGGAAGAAAGATTACGATTGGCTTGTTCGGTAATTTTTTACCACGAAATGAATAAGATTCTTCTTGTTTTCATTGAAATAAATAAACATACTGTATACATTATCCCTTTGTAAATATTCATTAGGTTTCTTGAAACTAACAGGGTTGCTAGATTTCTTATATTCTTAGCCAAATTACTGAATGATTCAATGACTTTCACGACCGTGTGAAAATGGCGAGTGGCTCGAAACTACACCAGTGTACACTTTTCTATCCTTTCAAGACATAGTTCATCAAATATGTTTGAGATACCTCATGGGGTATGTATCCAGGGGGTAGTTTCTCCAGCATGTCCTGAGCTAGCTTGTAGACGATGCTCTCCCTCGTCTCTCCACTTCCTCCACCGGTATCCTTGGGCTGGATGTTGAGGATGGTATCCAGTACTTCTTTAGCCGTGTTACTCTGATAGCTGCATGACAATTGATAATACATCTTCAATTCAATTCAATTCACATTTTATTAAAAACATGTGTTGCAGCCAATGGCTAAATTGGTCATATGTACAATTAAAAGACTCAATATATATTTCAAACATAAAATACAGTTACAATTGATTTGTCAGGTTATACAAAAGTTCAAGGTTCAAATGTTCTAGCTTTCAATGGAGATTTGGTGTCATTCACTACTAATTCACATACTTTATCGCAATTTCTTAATGGGGAGCGCACAACCATTATGCCTTGCTCCAATATGACATGGTCAACAGAAAAAGAGAGAGAGAGAGAGAAAAAAAAACAGCCTACAAACAAACCAAAGAAACAACACCAGAGGGAAATAACATGACTTGAGTGAGACACATATCTGTATCTTATTACAGAGATATGGATACCTAATATGGCCTTTGTTGCTCAGGCTACTTTTTATTCAACCCCACTTGCTATTTATGTGCAAATATATTGAAAAAAAATGTTTATATTTAACAGGTGGTTTACCATGTCAAGTGTGAATGATGCTTTAGATGTAATTGTCATGTTGGTGAGTCTACAGTGAAATGACTTAATAATTCAACATGATTGTCTTTACCACGATGAGCGTTTAAAGGAAATCTCATTGGTTAATTTTGAGCAACCTGCATGTGATTATGATCTCAAAGCCCCACTATACTACGTTTAGCTACTTGCTCCCTCTATATAGAAAACAATGCTTAAGCGGTGACAGTTGGTCCCCTATGATCCTCTTTTTCTTACGTTAATTAAGAGCTGAGTTGATGAGACAACCACCTGTCAGTGACCACGCTGGATGGTCTAATCCCTCCCAGCCAAACTAGTACAGACAGGCTTTAAATGACATACTTACGTGATGTCGGCATTGGGATGAAGCCCAAACACTTCTGGGGAGTCAGTGAGTGGGAGGGTCTCAATAACTTCCAGGAAATCATGTACCGTCTTGCACTTGGGAATGATGTAACCGGTATAGAACTTGAAGGATTCCTGGAACATATGATCTCCAAACCACACCTAGGGGTCATTGACAAAGTGTGAATAATACAAAGAGTATGAAGAAAAAAAAAGGATGAAGACAAAAAATGAGCACGGAGGAATAAATTACAAAAAGAAAACGGGATAAGGAAAGTAAAGAACAGAAGAGAAGAAACAATATATTGAGAGAAAAAAATAGATAAATAGATCTGGAAAGACAGTTCAGACAGAAATATAGTCAAAGGGTATGAAGAGATAAAGTGACAGACATATAGAACGTCATTAGGCAACAAAGTACTAAGCTCACATCTTCAGTAGATAACACATTTTGTATGTTCACAGCCAGAAGGGTGTTAACTCATAAACACCAAAAGAAAATTACATATATATATATATATATATATATATATATAAATGTATACTCTACAATAAAAGATAATGCCTTTCTGTTTCTCAACAGACATTTCATAATAAACTTAAAAATCACATAATTCATGTAGCTGTATATGTTATGTACAGCTAACTCAAGAAAGATCATTATTTTATTAAAAACTTGTATCTCAAATATGCTGTCTTTTCTATTACAAGAGATTTGAATTCAAAATGTGAAGTTGATACCTACATCATTGAGTTTATCACATAAATTGAATAATCTAAACGCAAAAGGTGAAGGTAATAGGGAAAGACACCACTATCACCAATTTCATTGGCTATTTCAATAATGTATCTTGATAAATAGGACATGTTACTCAATAACTCTGACTTTACTATTGAACATCATATCAGGATACTTGCTTACCTTTGCAAATGTGTTGAGAAGCCTCTTGTCATAGTCATCGGTTACCCTTCCACCATACTGCACTTCACCAAGCATGTACCTCACAGTGTTCCAAGATACACCCTATATCAATACACAAGGTCAATCATTTTATCAGATTTTATGTATTATCAAAGTTACAGCAAAGCTTGTAATTTCTGAAGGGCGAAACAGTAGCATGGTTTTGCTAAAATATGGATTACATATCAAATAAGTTACTCCTTTTCAATAATGACATTTGGTTATAAAAGAAAACTAGTCTTCCATATAAGTCTATATCAACATCATTTAAACAGTGCTTTCTATTCCATTGAGCCTACGTTGAACTAAATTGAACAGATCTCTTTACATCTTTTTTTCTCGAAAAATTATGAAATGAAATTAATTGGGATGACTGCAACCATGAAAATCTCTATTAATTAAAGCAAAAATACTTGTTTTACTTCAATTGAATCTTCTTAAATCATTCAAAAATTATATAAATCATTTTATTGTCTCTTTTTTTGATGGGAAAGGGAATGGGTAATGATATAGCTGTGTTTGGCAACACATGGAAGGACAGACTATTACAGAAAAGTTGTACCTTCTTGGGATCGATGTCATCAAGATGGTTCTGTACAAACTGTACACTAGCTGCTTGATCCGCCGAGTTGAATTCATATGGGATGTTCCAACCAAGAGGGCCGAACTTACGACGTTCCTGGAAGGGATTTCAAGAAGAAAAAAAGATGAAGAAATTATTAGGGAACATTTGTAGATAATCAGAAAAGAAGAGGGATATATCATTCCTTTATCAGAAAAATATAAGAAGTCTTACAAATGTTATGATATATCTAAATACTTGATGAACTTGTATGTTTTCTGACCATAAGAAATTTTAAAGAGTTACAAACTCTCTCAAAAAATATTTATTCACGGCTGGTAAGCCACTCGCTCTTTGTTTTGGTTTTGCTGGCCATGGTGATGCAAAATTAAGCTTTTTTACAATTTTGTCAAGAATTTGGCGCCTTCTAGAAAAGGCGCGCTTCTGTGGCGCGTTTCCAAATGCGCTAGTGCGGGAGCGTATGCACATGCAAATTTTGTCATTCTCTTGTGGCTTTTGGTAGAGGCAAGATTTGTTTTGGACAATAAAAAATCTATATTCGCTATCGTCAAATTTATTATTAACTTCTCTCAAACTCCTTGCAACTTCGTTTGTACGGAGGAGCTAGTCTAGTTCAGCGCCGTAATTTGGAGAGAGACCAGCATGCCAAAAGCTAAGGCTAAGACCAGTAAGAGGAAGACGAGTTTAAAGGCAAAGGAGTCGGAGCAACATGAGCAACCCCGTGGACAAGGTAGGCCTACTAGTGCTATACCACCAGCTACTACTAGCTCCGTAGGCCGAGCGGACCAACATGACTAAGGCCAAGTCCAAACCCAAGGACTGGTACCTCAACAAGTCTCCGTAAGTCGGGAAACAGAAATGATACTGATAGAGATAGATCTAACGTCGCATCTAGTAGTACTACTAGTCAGGGGGATTTTAGGCCTGGGGCTCCATGGCCTAGGGTGGTGCAAGGCTTGGGGGGGGGGGATTGTCGACTGAGGTCGGATCCTGCAACATTGCTGGCCTCAACAAAACTAGATCTATAGAGAATTGTGACTATGATCTCAATTTAGAGCCTCTATTATCTAGCACCGGATACATGGGAGGTGAAAGTAGTTCTTGTTCTGGTTCTGGATCTAGATCTAACGAGATCTCCCTCAGCCTGTGGTAAGCGTCTGTGACCCTCTCGGGGCGGATATTGGTTTGTAGTTGAAGGAAAAGGTATGGCAGGGTGATTATATCGACCTTGTTTTGTTGCTGAAGCAAAACAGGGACAGCTTCCTTTCCAGTAGGCCTAACGATTATACTAATGGAACCATGTTCCAGTTGTTGCCCGGTTTTCGATCAAATACTTGATCCAGTTCCATTCAATCCACAAGGGCAGCCCACCACAACAGTCACTACTGGGAGCACTAGTACCAGAGCATCCTACACGATCAACGTCATTAAGAATCGACAGCCAGATTATCCCTTTCATGGCTGTATGATCAATAATTTCAACAAATAAAACAAAGAAAAGCCATACATGTATACGTTCATGTTTTTGCTTTGACTTTGAGATTTTATATTGAATTGTTTGACGGTGTTACTTGGAAGTTCTGACATTTAAAAACATGTTTTTGTGAAATTCACTTGACTTGGATGAATTTAGATTTTCCTGGAAACTAAGGAGAAGGAATTTTAATCTGTTAAATCATTCACCTTTTCTTTCCTTTTTATTTAAAGGGATAGTTGAGTTCTTGTTTCAGACTGCAAATGCCTTCAAAGTGCATGGTTATTGCTCTTATTCTTATATATGACATTTCTGGTGCTCTTTTAGGGCCTGAAATTGCTATAAAGATAATTTTAGACCCCAAAATGTGTGAAATTTAGCCAATACGATCATACCAATTCAATTAAAAAAAATATGATGACCGTTAAATTGATTAATTTATATCAACAATACACAGGCCAGCTAGTTGTGCGTATTACAGCCAACACGAAAAAGCCAACATCGGCATTGGCTGGAATAGAACGTATAAGGCGCTTTTTCGTTTTTTCAACAGCTGGTTCAAATTTTGGAATATTAGAAATGGTCATATGTATGGATATTTATTGATATTATTATATTTGCTAGACCCACTTGAAAGGTATTGTATATTTGTATACTACGTACCTGAACACAGGTATGCAGGAAGGCCACACCATAGAGCATAGGTTTCCAATGAGGTAGGCTGATGACATCAAGCTGATCCTGCGTGATAGATGCAAAGGTTCTCTTCAGACCTGCTTTCATTCCTTGAGGTGGCTCATTGGTGAACTTGATGGAAGCCTGCGTGAGTGAATAAAAAGAGATTTCATTCAACTCAAAGTTATTAATTATTAATCACAAGTAAGAACAAATAAACAAACCAGGGCCTAGTTGCACAAAACTTACCATTGATGGTTACTTTGCCATCCAATGGTAACTACCATGGAAACCTTGATTTTGATTGGCTGTTGAGCCCTGTTATCATGGTAGTTGCCATTGATGGCAAAGTTATCATCAATGGTAAGTTGTATGCAACGGGCCCTGATATTGCAGTATTTTGATGTTCAGTATAATTTTTTAATCATTCTAATTCATGTAGAAAGAAAACAGAACATATTAAATATTTGTTTTTGATATTGGAACTCATTCACAGGATAAGGACAAAAAAAGCCCATTTTTTAAAAGATAAGATGTTTAAAAAAGATCTTTAATAAGCATTTGGTTTCCAAGATGCATACTAAAATTTTCAGGACCTTAAACCAGAGGATAATAATGTCTTTTGAAAGGCAAAAATTACTTTTCAATTCAATTCAATTCAATTCAATTTATTTATATTTCCAACAAAACATTACAAATCAATTATAAACATTTACAACAAATGTGAAAATACATATTGGAAACAGAGGGGTCTACTAAAGAGCTATGCTTCTACAAGTGTAATCACATTCTTTAACCCAACATTAATGCCCTTTGGCTTTTAATAGAAAATATTGTTTGGAACGCACCTGGAGTAAGCTGATAGGAAACTGAGGATGAACCTCTGTAGTGATCCACACTCTGAAGCTTGCATGGGGGTTCTCATAGCCAGTCACAGTGTCCAGCAGCTCGTCCATAAACTCAAGACCAAGATGACAGTTCTGAAGCATCACCCAACCACCCTGCATGCAATGATTACATAAAGGTATGAAACGAACACTGTAAGTACAGACCATGATTAGATGAAAGTTGAATAAGGATTACAAAAACAACTAGATGAATCTTTGACTTGTGCGCTGTTGAAAATGATGCCTCTGCCATAGAGCGATTTTACAAACCTACACAGAAGCAAGTTTTATAATTCAAGTTTGGTTGTAATCCATTAAAAGGTTCTCAGAATATTGTAATTACAAGCTATCTTTGCATACATAATATCCCTGTGACATTTGACCTCGTAAACTAAAAATCAGTTCATTGGCTCTGCAAGATACATACATACATGACCCAAGTTTAGCAGGAATCTATCAATCGTTTCTTGAGAAAACGCGATCACAAGAACAAGCCGTACGGACGGATGGACAACCCGAAAACATGATGCCTTCGGCTACTTTGTAGAGGAGGCATAAAAATGAGTATGGTAAAACCAGTCACTCAAGGATTTTTACTTTTTTTAGGCACTTCATGATCATTTTGAAGCACAATTTTTTTTAGGGCTGCAATATTACATCATATCACAGACACTGATAATACATAGGACCATACATGCATCTAAGATTTAACATTGTTAAACGATGCCTTAATGATGTTTTCTGTTGAGTAAACTTACCCCCACTTGGGACTGGTGTATGAGTCTCCTTGCATGCACTTCTTGACCTTGTCCCATGGAAATAGATCTGCAGGCTAAAGAGGGAGAAAATGGACTACAACATATGCATGTATGTATTTTTTTTTATTGATGTGCACGATTTACTTGCGCCAACATACTACATGCATGCAATTCAGCCATGTGGTTGCAATATGTTGATAATAATAATGATAATAATAATGGTGGCTTCTTATATAGCGAACATGTCCGTCACGTTGTGACGCTCGTGGCACTGATGAATAAATACCTTATCTTACCTTAACATAGGTGTATCGGACAATTAGACTCATGACATAAACATACAACCTTAGTCATATTTTCATAGTCCCAGATATATCAATAATGACTGAAAACATCATGTTGCTGCCTTGAATTGTGGGGGAAACCCTCCTTTGTTTGTGTGTGAGAGAAAAGTATGAATCATGTACTTTGAAATCATTATATATCAGTCATGAGAGCATGTGTGTTTGTGTAAGACACTTTGATTATCCAAGAAAACCTCCTGGATTCTTACCGAAAGAATGCACCTCCCAATTTCCTTTTTGTATCTCATTATAATGGGACACTTTGTAAAATTCTGTTTTTTTGTCAAATCGTCATTACAATTACAGGACTCTAAAGGAGGCTTAAAACATTTGTATAAAGTGACATGGGCATGCATCTGTTAAATTGTATTGTACATGTACATGTATAAATACATGTTTAAATTCTTTTAAATATGTGGTTATCATCTATTTTTTACTTTTATTTTTATTTCTTAAATGTATTTTCTATTCAAATTGAAAATTCCATTCACATATTTCTTGTAAATGTTCAAGGATAACCCTTGAATGATCAGTTATTTCATGAGGATACCAATTGATTTGTATTTTACCTGTTTATATGCTTTTTTTTTTTATTTATTTTGATTTTGCTGCTGTTATTTGTTTTATTCTTACCAAACAGGGACTCATGGAAGACCACCAAATTAGTGATATGTGCCACCCCGTATAAATATCAGAAATAAATAAATAAATGTATATCCAGGGCACTTACCAACTTTCAGCTTCTTGCCTAGTCCTTCAATCTGACTGGTAGGATCTGATCCCATGGATAGGAAGCAGATGAGAGGGGTATGGACATCGCTCTCTTCCCATGTCTTCTCAAGGTCAAGGATGACCGGGTCAGCATACCTGCTTCCCATGGAGTCGGCGATGTACTTCCTTGCCTGTGGGATGGTACGATCCGTACACCAAGATCTGAGATGGTGGTGAAATGCATGGTGGGAGATGCATGAATCATGTTTACACAAATAAACAATATACATGTGCTAATATATACTGTACATTTCCAATTGTTGAAGAATATTTTCTTTCTAATTCATCATTCTGTTTTATTTTGTTTATAAATTTAAGTATGTATGCACACGTACAAAGAAATTAACCTTGCTAATTGTAAGACAATAGGTGTGGTTTGCCAGATGCAGAACCAACATCATTAATATTCCTGCAGTAATAAGTCTGTGTATGATTAGAACATAACCAGCTTTTAAAAATCTACTTTGATACCAGTTATGTATCACTTTAAGACCTCTCAATGTCCACACCACTGAACCTTCTCATGTATTACGAACCCATTGATAACCAACAAAATCAAGGCCATTCACAGTAATGAAATTGATTGGTCTATTGCCAGTCTGGTGTCGTCACTTTATAGAGTGAAATGATTAAATAATTCTCTGCGCTTTACATAATTAGCTACGTAGAGGTGTCCTGGTTGAGTGGATACGTCACTAGACTGTTGATCACAAGGTCTGTGGTTTGAGTCCCGCAGCGGCACCAATGTTCTTTGGCAAGACATTGATCTACATTTGCCACACTCAACCCACGTGATTTAAATGGGTGCCTGGCAGGAATTTATTCCTTGAAATGCTAAAGCCAGGGTAATAATCGGGGCAGCACCAGAAGCATCACGATGTGATGGACAGGTGCGCTATGATAAGAAGCCACCATTATTATTATTATTACAAGAAGACCTTACCTGATGAGAAGAAGTTTCCTGAATGTGTCCAATGAACTGTTGTATCCATCAGGGATAATCTCCTCTTCTGGGGCGTCTTTGTCAAACCATACCTTCCAGGTTCTCTCATTGCGCTGGATCTATAGCAAAGAATGAATATGGAGATAGGGTAGACTTGCTATCATAGATTTGTTCTTGCTTGTCAGTTATACTATAATATTGTTTACAAGTTTTAAATGATATCAAACTGGAAAAAAAAGGAAGAAAAAGGGTGCATAGCTTGTTCAGAAGTTGATGAATTATTACATTTAAAGATGCTGGTTAAGTCACATAATGATAAATGTGGACTGCTCAGCAAAAACTGCCCAAACAATGACAAAACGATTGGCATCTAGAATGTACTAGTAATTCAAGTTTAAGTGACTTGAAACATTGAGAACTCAACAAGGTATAAAAAATATTATATAAAGTTCTTACTATGCTTATATCCATACAAGTATATAGCCTCCAATATTGCATTTGAATGCTTTCTGTATTAAGCGTTGACAAAGGAGAAAATTCAGCAGTTATCAGGTTAATAGGCAAATGATATTTCAACTAGGTAGAAGGAATTACATGTACCTGTGTAAGTATTTCTGAGTACTGAGGTAGCTTGCTCAGTTCTACCAGGTTAAGCCAGGTGACATCTGTGATCCACTTTGATGGCTTGGGTGGACAGGCTTTCAAGTCCAGAGCAGCACCACCTAAAAGTAATACATTCCATGGTGTAAATTTAGTACTGAACCAATTTTTCAAACCTTTTTCAAGGCAAACGATAAATGTGGTCTTTGTAGACAGATGGTCACTGACATAGGTTTGACTGTATCAGCTGCAAGATGTCTGATACATGTATGTCAATTAATGGATAAATCAGTACACTGACACATTCCACAAGGTTTATTGCATAAATGATCCTAGTTTGGTGTTAGGTTTTTCCAATTGATTTTCCAATAAGATCCTCTGAATATCTACTGAAATCAGTTCTCCTTATATACCAAGTTTGAAGATCATCCATGACTTCAAAACTTGAAGCAAGTCAAACATTACAAACTTCTCTGTTCAAATTTAAACTGATCACCACCAATCATCTGAAGCTCTTTATCTTTCAAGAAGTTAAATGTTTTAGTACAAGTGGAAATCTTTGGATATACAGTGAAATCTGTCTATAAAGAACACCCAAGGGAGACAAGAAAAGTGGACTCTATAGGCAGGTGGTCTTTATGTTCACGTGCCTATAGTACATGTTTAAAAGAGAAACCATTTTCAAGGGAAACAAAACATGTGGCCTTTGTAGATAGGTGGTATTTAATTCAGGTACGACTGCATACTCGTATTCTTCAAGCAGAAAACACCATCCTATATGTACAAGGTGTGAATGATGTAAACAGAATCAACTAGATTATATATGCCTACCTTTGATCAGAGTTTGAAATTCTTTGATTCTGACATTGCCCAGTTGCTGATCAATCTTGAGGGCAATGAGGAGAGTAAAGAGGAACTTGTGGTTCTCATAGAGCCCCCTGCAGGAGTACCTGAACACTTCATACGTTAGCTGGCTGATGATGTTTGCAATGCGCTTGGCTGGTATGGGCGATTTCTCAGATCTACGGAGAGAAGAAAAGATAAAATTAAATGAAACATACATGTACATTGAAAGTGACATAGTTCACTTGCTTGTGTAATGTATTGCAGTTGTGGCATGCAGCATGGTTAACAAAAGTAAAAACACAAAAAAATTATAATCAGAAGAATGGAATGACTTGTGTAGCTTTTGAAAGTAAAAAGAAATCTTTTTGTTTCACACAGCAAAAAACTCTAAGATCCAAATTTGTTTCCTTCTCAGTAAGATCAAATAAATTACAATGTCAGTTTTATTTCTAACAGCAACACAAAAAAAAAAAACAGGAGACAAAACAAAATTGTTTCTTTCTCAACAGAATTTATTAAAAATTGATTCCTATGTCCAAAGAGGAGACAACACAATGACATTCATTTTGATCAATTATATTTCCTAATTACTACATTTATTTTAGTAGAACATCAAGGGAACCAGGTGGAGGGAACGAGGGAAGTGAGTAGCTAATTGGGTTAATAATAAGAAACAGATAATGATTTAATTACCTTGCCATGGAGAGATCAAAGATACCGAGGAACTGCTTTAGGGACGTCTGGTACATGACATTAACCATGCTCATCTCAGTGATCAAGAAGTACAGGATGCTACCTCGATTAGCCACTAAATGAATGAAGCAATCAAGTGAAACAACCATTAATCATATTTTAGACATTAATCATTAAAAATGACATTACACATTACATTATAATTACACACATTGTAGCACACATATCACAAAGTACTTGTAGGTACCACTGGTTGGTGTGTGCTTTTTGTTTAAGTCTCCTGTATTCACAATTTATTTACATGCTTATGGTTAAATTTCTTTTGCTGCATCTTTTAAAAAAAAAATTAAAGGTGATGTACCATGTTATGTTTGATTGGAATTTAATGACATGATTGAGAATATATATATTAGCTGTTTAGACAAAAGAATAATGCTTGGATGAAGCAAAGGATGATTACATGTGCCATCAAAAAGACTAAGATCAACTTTAAGTTGGACTTGACTATGGCAGGCCGTTCATGCCACTGTTTGCTCTCACTGTTTAATGGCATTGGTCTCTCAAGGGACGTACAATTCATAGTCACAAATTTACATTTTTTTGATAATTTATTATTGAAGGAAAATATGAATCATCTAAAGATCATAATGGTGAGAGCAAACAGTGGCATGAACAGCCTGCCATAGTTAAGTCCAACTTAAAGTCAATCTTAGTCTTTGTGAAACACTCCCTTGATTTCACCCAGAGGAGACAATTTAATTTTGTTTCAACATGTATTCTAGCGTGTTTGATCCCAGGTTACCTTGGACTTATATACTTCTGTTTAGCCTCTTCTATTCTTTGTATTTACAAATGAAATACAAGAGGTGACTTGATTGAACAATTTTTTTGTATTCCTTACCTGGTCTGAATTCTTCTCTTGCTTCATTGATCTTGAGTTCAGTATCTGCTGCCACCACTAGTTTCTCCGTCACTTCTTCGGATGTCACTTTGGTAGAAGCAAGCACGGTGATGAGAGACTCATCTTCAACCAGGGAACCCTATTCAGCCAGCACAATCAGAGGAGATATCAAGAAACTTTAGTAACCGTTTGAAGCATCAATTACTTTAAAATAAATGGTATCCATTTACACCTGGGTGAAGAGTGGCAAATGTAGATTTACGTCTTGCAAAGGACATTAGTGCCACGGCAGGACTTGAACCCTGTACCTTGTGATCTGAATTCGGGTGACTTATCCACTAGACAACAACACCTCTACAAATTAGAGCAATACATATCTCATTAACTTATATTCATGTTCAGTGCAGAACAAACTAGATGGAACTTTGACTGCGTGCAGTCGAAAATGATGCCTCCGTCATAGAGCAATTTTACAAACCAAAACAGAAGAAATTTTTCAAATTCAAGTTCAATTGTAATCCATTAACAGGTTCTCAGAATATCGTGATTACAAGCAATTTCTGATATACATATATGATCCTTTGATCTTTGACCTCATGACCCTAAAATCTACTCAGTTCATTGGCTCTGCAAGATGTTCTGAGTTAAATAGTAATCCATCTGTCAGTTCTAATGAGAAAGCGTTCACACGATATTTTTGGATACATAATGAGCCCATGACCTTTGACCTCATGACCCAAGAATCTACTCAGTTCATTGGCTATGCAAGATACATACATGATTTAAGTTTGGCAGGAATCCATCAATCGGTTCTTCAGATAATGCGATCACGAGCTGTTTTTACATACATAATGAGCCCTGTGACCTTTGACCTTGTAACCCAAAAACTAATCAGTTCATCGGCTCTGCAAGATACATACATGACCAAAGTTTGGCAGGAATCCATCAATCGGTTCTTCAGATAATGCGATCACGAGAACGGGACATACGGACGGACGGACAACCCGAAAACATAATGCCTCCGGCTACTTCATACCGGAGGCATAAAAATAACTGCACATATCTTTTTTTTTTACCAAATAAGCCATTAATGTTAACTATCAAAGGAGTAACAGGGAAGCAATTGTGAATATGAAGTCAGCCAAATATGAGTCACATTTGAAATCAATGTCAAATCATAGACATGTTTTTGTATCCATAATGTACTTCATATTGCTCTACATGCAGCCTGCTTTATCAATAAACAAGTAACACTGTAACATCAATAACCTCTTCCCCATCCTATACCACTTTCACACATTCAATTCTTATCAACACAGCTTCTGACCATTCATCTTAAAGGTACTATGTCCCTTTTGCAGCCAACCTCACATTCTGTAGAACTTTGCAGGAATTATGAATATGTCATGTATGTCCTATCTGTGAAATTTAAACGTTAGCAGTGTCCTCATATTCAAATTATGCAAGGAAACCCGTTTACTTGCTAGACTTCACTGTCAGACACTATTGGGTGACTGACTGGCTTTTTTTCTTCTTTGGTAATAACATACATGAAAAGAGTTGTAAAGGGTACATGAACATTTGTCTACATCACTAACCCACTTCTTGTGATGGCCAAGATTAAACTGATTGAATCTTTGCGCAGCATAAAACGTATGACCATTCGGTACAATTGTCTAAAAATCAAGACTATTACTTTTGGGCTCTATAGCCCTAAAGTCGATTTGACAACTAATAGTCGTTATTTTCCCACTTGAAGACATTTTCAAGCCCCACCTTTTTTAGGTAAGTTCTAAATTAGTATTATCTTTCAAATGCAGTTGGAATTTAACTTTTTCATTTTTTTGGCCTGCAAATGGGACATAGTACCTTTAAAGTATGAAGACGGCTGTCAAAATGATGGTTACGTACTTACCTGTGTACTTGTAAGTCTGTAGAGGAGATTATCTTCAAGCTCCTTCATCTTTCGTTTGTTGGCTGTCACATCCTCCATCAGAGCAATTCTTTCTGATTCCAATTCCTAGAATAAAAAACCAAACCGTTGACCGTTTTTAGGGCATTCTACTTCTAATACAAAATCAGAAAGTATTTATATACACTTTTGTCAAACTCAGATCACATATAAACACACATCTTTCGTAAAAATATGTATATTTTACCAGGTACAAAGATTTAGAACAATTCTGTATTTTTTAGAAACGTTCTCAGCTTCTGCATTGTTACTCGAACACACATTTTTCAAATATGAAATGATGGCTCTTATCAATTTGTTGGCAATGCTTGTTGCACATGCCTCAACAATATGCAACAACTCATACTTGTCCCACAATTTTAATGTAGATAAGGGCCTCTGTCTTATAAAGAGTTGCAATTCGATTCAATCTCAACTTGAAATTAGTCACAACTCCCATCTCCTAAGCACACAATTGTGATGAATTTGAATCAATCGTAACTCTTTATAGTAGAGGGCCCTGGTAATGGAAGTGGCAATCTATAATTGAGATGAAATAAACTAGTTACAAATTTGTTTGCTCCAACTATCCTCCTCACATATTTAATGCAAATGGATGTCACACAGCATGTACCTGCTTTTCTGTCTGGATAACTCTACCAAGTAGCTGATCTTCTAGACCCTTCATGGTTACAGTGAAGTCAATGATAGAGGCTTTGGCTGATACCTGCCAAATAAAGATTAAACAAGTAATAAATAAGTTAAAAAACAAGTACAATTTAGAAACTAGATGGAACTTTGACTGCGCGCAGTCAAAAATGATGCCTCCGCCATAGAGCAATTTTACAAACCAAAACAGAAACAATTTTTAAATTCAAGTTTGATTGTAATCCATCTGTCAGTTTTAATGCTAATGCATGCACAAGCTATTTATAGGCATACATAATGAGCTATGTGACCTTTGACCTTCGACCTGGTGACCCCAAAATCTAATCAGTTCATTGGCTCTGCAAGATACATACATGACTTGAGTTTGATAGTAATCTGTCTATTGGTTCTCATGATAATGCGATCACAAGCTATTTTTGGATACATAAAGAGCCCTGTGACCTTTGACCTAGTGACCCCAAAATCAACTCAGTTCATTGGCTCTGCAAGTTACATACATGACCCGAGTTTGGCAGGAATCCATCAATCGGTTCTTGAGATAATGCGATCACAAGCTATTTTTGCATACATAATGAGCCTTGTGACCTTTGACCTTGTGACCCCAAAATCTAATCAGTTCATTGGCTCTGCAAGATACATACATGACTTAAGTTTGGCAGGAATCCATCAATCGCTTCTTGAGACAACGCGATCCCAAGCCATTTTCGCATACATAATGAGCCTTGTGACCTTTGACCTTCGACCTTGTGACCCCAAAATCTAATCAGTTCATTGGCTCTGCAAGATACATACATGACTTAGGTTTGGCAGGAATCCATCAATCGGTTCTTGAGATAACGCGATCCCGAGCCATTTTTGCATACATAATGAGCCTTGTGACCTTTGACCTTGGATCTCGTGACCCCAAAATCTAATCAGTTCATTAGCTCTGTGAGATACATACATGACTTAAGTTTGGCAGGAATCCATCAATCAGTTCTTGAGATAACGTGATCACGAGAATGGGACGTACGTATGTACGGACGGACGGACAACCCGAAAACATAATGCCTCCGGCTACTTCGTAACGGAGGCATAAAAAATATACAAAGATACATCAATAGACAGTTCTATAAGAGGATATACAGTATGTTATTCAAAACTTGGCCCTCCTTAGTTTATAACAATTCCAGGAATAGCTGCAAAAATTTATTCCACATTAGATTTGCTTGAAGTAGTTAACTACTTCAATATTATCTTTCGTGTAGACACTAAACTTTTGTAAATATGTCTTGTTGACGATATCACGAACAACTAAAGCCATCTTCAGTAAATGTAAAGTTCTTGTAACAAAGGGTTTCACTAATATAATACGGTGAACAGATAAATGTGTGTTGTTCATGTTACCTAAGGTAAATATAAATCATGATAACACTGGGAGTCCATTATAACTTAGGGAACAAAGCAATACATGTATGCACAATTAAGACAATCTTGGGTAGATGTAAACCTACTGACTTAACCGTGAATGTATATAGTATGAAAGTGGGTAAAAAGTACACTACTCACACTCTCTTGGGTAATTCTAGCCGAAACATTTTTTAGACACTGCTTGTCAACTGAAACATATTAAACTGGGTAATAGACACCAATACCACTATCTTGAGTGGATGTAAATCTTTTGTGATAACTGGGTACCATTCATTATATTACTAATGAAGATACATGTGTGCATTGCTATAAAGCCTTATATTGCTTGATATCACATTGGGCGTCATCTACACATTAAAAATAATGTGTGTATATTGCTAATGCTATCTTAGGTAGACGTAAACATATTTTTGCACTATGTGTCGAGTCAATGTAAAACAAAAAAAATCAACAAATATTGATAGAACCGATATAATTTTTTACATGTATTACAATACCATTAATTTGAATTCACAGCACCATCTAGCAACAACGGTGTATTCGTCAATTTCATGTGATGCATAACGGGAAAAAAGTTGACAAAAATATCAGCTGTGGCATTGTTATATACCCAAAGGGGACCTGTTAATTGAGAATCCATCCTATTAGAACAAAATACTGAAAACCTGAAGAAGGTATGTGTTTACCTCTGGTGTGTAGGTAGGGTTAGCAAGCTTGGTGGTCATGTAGAGTGTGAAACCAGTCATCACATCACACTCTTTGTCTCCTACTTTCACCTGGTAAAAGATGACAAAACAAAACTGTGTTAAAATCTTTTCACAGTATTTAAAAGTTTACAAGCAGAATATAATCATGTTTAGTAATAAGACATCACTACACGTATTGGAAAAGGAACATAGAGAAAAGGCATTCTGACAAGACTGGGAGTGCAAGAACCTACATGGCTACAGGTTAATGACCTTTACCAAGAACCTGTTACCAATAATTGAACTGCAGGAACCTGTGAATTCTTGATAATTTTTCACTCTTTGACTCCTTCATCATTTCATATTCAAAATGTTATGAAATCTAGCAATTACTAACCACACCTACATCATTATCTCATGTATGCAATCACTAAAAAACTTACAAGAGAGGAGTAACAAAACTACTTTGATGTAGCATGTAATTTAAACTTGATTATCAACTTATCAACATTCATTTTAAAGATGTTATACAACATTGCCTCTCAACTATTGAATTTGAATTTGAACACATTGAGTTGTCTTCTAGAAAATTTAGATACAAGAGGTACAAGAAAAACAATTTTTTTTTTTTAACAACAAGTCATAATATAGAAATAGAACTGTAGGAGCAAATACACTTTTATCCCAACTGGTATTGCTAAAGTAACATAGAAGAACATTCTGTCTTGTTAAGCATCTATGAATTGTTACCTTAAACGTGCTGCCAGATTTGATGAAGTTCTTTTCAAGGACATTATCGAGGGCAGGATCCAAATCTTCACCAACATCTTCAATGTAGAGAGGTCTCCCAAGGGACAGGGCATCTTCTAGATGAGTTCTGAAATACTTGTGGTTCAGCGATGTCACCTATTGTCAAGAAAGTAACCACTTATAACTTTTAGTACAGGATGTCAACCCATTTTTTTAGACACCTGCCTTGCTAAATTTATAACAATGATACATTAGTGTGTGTTACCACTGTGAATTTTATACTGAGTGTTTGATGCTATTACATTCCTAGGAAGATGGCATTTTATCAATATCACTGATAGCTTTGAAATGGTTATCATTCCTTCCCCTATTGAATATTAAGTTCTGAATATCCAAGGACTAAACCCACTGGAAGTGCATGTTAAATATGAAATGAAAAGTTTTCAAGTAGTAAAAGGGTACCAGAAAGAAAAAATACATGTAAAAGGTAAATTATGTTCTGAAATAATGTTAAAATAAGTACTGACATATTCTATAGTTTACATGTTGTGTTAGGACTATAAAACATAAATGTGTACCAATCACCAAAACAAGTTTTGCTCTTGATGTAACGGGTATCATGTTGCTATACTGTATTCATAACATTAGCTTCAAATATTACTTCTACAAAGTGGTATTGCAGCTTGAATGCACCCTCAGTGGACAGTAAATCGTCTTCTTGAGTAGATTTGTGAGTCCCTTGAGAAACCAATGCCAGGAATAGTTACAGGAACTAGTGGCATGAATTGCCTGCCATAGTTAATTCAAACCTAAAGTTGATCTTAGTCTTTGTGAAACACCCCCTGGTTTCCTAAGATTCTGGTAAATTTACCTGGAGCCCATTGTCACTCTCTCTGTTCTTAATCCAGACTTTCCCTTGACCTTGCGGATCAATTAATAGAGGGTAGCGGGTAGCCTTGGTCACAATGATACCATTCTGAATAGATAGCTCATCATTGGGTAGACCCTGAAGATTCCATTCTCCAATCTAAATAAACAAAACGAATTAAAATTAACAGTTCCAACAAAAATTACTATAATCAAATAATCCAATTATTTCTTTGACAAAGAAAGAATTCCATGTATAGTTTCCAAGGTCTCAAAGAATTTTGTTCATGTACGCAAATAGTGCAACATTCCCGTTCTAGGCCCTCTTGCATAAAAGTCCAATTGCGATGGATCACAACTCAGATCAAATGCAACTTGCAATCAAACACAACTGCGCATTGCATAAAGAGAGTTGTGTTTGATTTTCAGGCACAACTTTGCGTTTGGTCATGTATCTATCATAAATTTGCGTTTGATCTGGAAAAGTTGTGCTCATAATCAAACGGAACTCTTTATGCAAGGCAATACTAAAGCAATATCCCAAAATTGTTTTATTCAAATATACATGTGCTCATAATCAAACGGAACTCTTTATGCAAGGCAATACTATAGCAATATCCCAAAATTGTTTTATTCAAATATACATGTATGTATGCAGCTATAATATTATGTGATTGATACTAAAATGTGTTGTGGAGCTTTACAGCTGAAATTGAAACAGTCAGTTTCTACTTTTTGAATTGATTCCCATCTATAGAAAGAAAACTTTAATATTTCGATTGACTTACAGTAGGTGCATCCACCAGCATGTTAGTGACATTGAGGTTTGCTGAGAAAGGAATGCGTCTCTTGGAAAGCTCCTTGGACCACTCGTCCATCATCATGAGACGGAAGACTTGATTGAATGGACCCGAGTAGGAGAGGAAACCAGTAGCAAGCAGTACATCACCTACCAGTCTAATGTAACAATAAAAGAAAAGGAGGATAAATGGTTTTGGGGTGTGAAGAATCATTTCATGATGCCCTATTTGCATAGAAACATGCATTGAAACAGACTTAATCAGAGTTCTGCTTGAGTGAAACCATTGATTCAATATTGAATTTAAAGTCCATTGAAAAATAATCTTTAACATACACATGTATACATGTAATAACTCTGTATCAAGTGGAAAAAGGACCATAGAATAAGCCAATATTATTGTTATTAACAACAATGATTCAGTTACTTCTGCCTCTATAAAGCAAAGTTCAAGTGACTGGTTTTTAACATGGAAGCTACAATGAATGTCCATGTACTATCGCTTATGGTTTCCGACTTATCAGATATCGCAACCACTGATACAGAGTGGATGAGAATTTCTTTTTCTATATATTTCTATATCATTCTTCTATTGACTTCCATTCTCTGACATTCTTCCTCTCTGACCTGTTGATTTGGGATTTAAACTCTTTGCTCTGCTGAGTCCATCGAATCTTCTCTCCTCCAAGGCCATTGATGAGCGCTGATGCTGCCGTCATCTTATGCCTACAAGACTCTGCATCAGCCAACAGCGTCTGAAAAAACCCACATTACATAATGTTTGTTAGTTACCAGGCTGCGTCTCACGAAACCGTCATAAGTACAAGTTCAGCGACATCCCTTTGAAACGCGTGTTAAACTTAATACACACATTCCAATGGGATGTCGCTGAACTTGTACTTATAACGGTTTCGTGAGACGCTGCCCAGTTTGCAGCCATGTACTTGTGTAACATCAATTTGCCATTTTGAACACCTTTCGAATTGCTTCTTTCATATTCAGTTCATTCAAATAGCACAGTTAGCAAGAGTTTTCCCTGATGACATCCTTCTTAATTGCACATGTACACAATACTACATGTAACATTATGACTTCATCTTGAAAGACCGCAGAAAGTTAACGAGGAGCAATCTGACTTTTACCACTGTAAATAAAATGAACGATCTGTATATGAAAAACTATTTCTTATACTTTCCTGAGATTTGATAGCAGAGGGAAATTTATACCTCAATGCTGCTACTCTTGCATTAACTCTGCTTTAAACCCTCTCTTTAAAATACTTCAGGGGAGTGTTTCACAAAGACTAAGATCGACTTTAAGTTGGACTTAACTATGGCAGGATGTTTATGCCACTGGTTGCTATCACCATTGGTCTCTCAATTATGCTTTTAAGATAATTTTGATTCCTTCAATAATGAACTATCACAAAATGTAATTTCTGTAGATTTGTGACCACGATTGATACGTACCTTGAGAGACCAATGCCAGTAAATTATGAGAGAAAATAGTGGCATGCATGGCTTGCCTTATTTAAGTCCAACTTAAAGTTGATCTTATTCTTTGTGAAACACTCCCCTGATATTACTGGAGAATATATATGAAGTCATTTTAGAACATCATAGCGAGAATACTGTTCCACACCACTGGTAAGGCCAACAGTGTTTTATAAGTACCCGGTAATGTTGTGTTAACAATCTGAATTGCTGTAAAACTCACTAGAATGGAGTTGAAAACAATACCAACCTGCTTTTCCAACATGGCTGCATCAAACTTTGCCTGGACTTCATCCAGTTCCCTCTGCTTTTCATCAAGCTGACCTTGGGCTTTTTCCAATTCTCTGGTAGCAATGTTCAACTTGGCTTCTTGGACTGCGAGATTGGCCTGACAAATGTAAAGGGATAGAATGACATGGTATCATGATGTTTTGAAATTTTCAATTTACTTTCAGTGCCTAAGATCAGGCAATATAGGATGATTAGCCCCAATTTCTGTTGAGAGCAGACTTGTGCATATATCATCCCTGTTTTCACGAAGTGACCGTAGTGAATGAAAATCGAATACAATTTGCGTGCGGATTTTCCTCACTACCGTCACTTCGTGAAAACAGGAACGATATGTATATACAAAGTTTTATATTGTTATTCATTGATTTTCTATCCTCTCAGTAATAAATTTCTTTTCCACATTTCACAAAGCTGGAACCTCGGCCTTCATCTCCATCCACATATTTTTTTACAATTTTTTTTAAAACTCCAAGTCTTCTTTCTCCTCTATTCATACATATGTATTTATATTGGCTATTAGCCTGTTCTATATTATTAAGGGTAGGGATCAGCAGCACTTGAACATGGTAAGTAGTAACAATTTCATAAGGTTGGAGAAGTTCAGTTCAAATATGTTTTTTGTCTTCCTTAATGTATTTTAAGTCCTTGAGAAATCTTTTTTCTCAAGACCTGGTTCACTAGAAAATTATGAATATTTCATGGACAGAAAAGATGAAAAAAAATAAAGATGTGTTCAAGTCAGAAGAAGCAAGCGTGAACAAAAAATCAATCATTAACACAATAACAGAGAGGCGAATGCTATCTGTTGCTCACATATAGAGAAAGGATAATCTAGAAAAAAATACATATTAACAGGGAAGAATGTTGGAAAGAGAAGCAGGGGGAAGGCAACAAAGTCTAAATAAATGGGCAACCAAAAATGAAACAAGCCATACCAGCTTTTAAGAATAGCAGATAATAGTCAGAAAAGGAGGGCTTTGACGGTCATTGTCTGTAACAAACCTGGCATTAGATGATGATGATGATGATGATGATAAATATTTAATGGTTCAATAAGTCAAGAAAAATGATGCACAGAACTGAATGAAAAGGGGTGCTTTAAAAATTAGAAATCATTTGGATCAAACATACATTAAGTTTCATTGCATGAATATCATTAAGAGCACATAGGCTTACCTTTAAGGGCAAAACTTCTTTGTTGATTCCAAAGAACGTTGCCATTGCACATGTCCATGAGCACAGCCCAGCAACATCTCCACAGACTTTCTTGGCATTTGCAAACGAGTAGTCTTCCATGCTCAGATAGGGGTGGAGAAGCTCCACTGTCTCGCCTGTGATGGAATCCTTAGCAAAGGTTTGCAGAGCATTCAAGAACCCACCTCCACTCATCAACTGGATAGAAACAAAGCACACAAGTACTAAAATTGAAGCCAGAAACTTCATGACGTGAAACTTGTGATTTGTAAACAGGAGCAATTTTCAGTGCAAGAAGCTTTTGTGAGTTGCTACAAATCTGTGTTGTGTCACTTGTGATTCAATAATTTTGCAGCATGAAACTTTTGCAAACTTAAACTGGCAGATTTGCATAACAATTAAAAGTTTCTGGTCTTACAGGATTCCTTTATGTAAGGGAATGGACATTGATAGTTCACAATATTTCTATAAATAATCATTGCTAAAAGAAGAACCTTCATCATTAATAAAAGAGCTCCGTAAGAAGGCTCACAAGGAGTTTTTTGTGGAAGAGCCCCAGTGGAAAAAAACTTGAGGCTTGAATGTATATCCATAAATCCTCCCTTACATGTCATATTGCAATATGATTTGGCAAATTCTGCAAAAAATAAAGATAATTCCAAAAGAAAAGGACTTTTCATTAAAACCCATTTATTTAAGAATTTGTTTATTTTTTCTAAATAGACCAATGCATGGGGAAATACAAACCTTGAGAGATTCACCCCAAGATGGTTTGGGACAGGGTCTTTCTGGATCAAGGGAAGGAGGATCGACTCTCTTCTGAAAGAGGATGAGCACTGAATCCATGATGCGCATGATGAGATGGGGAGGTTTGGCTAGCTTCCTCACGGTTGAGATGTGGGTGGGCTTGATGGTGTTGAGGGCATTCTCAGCTTCCTCCAGGGCGGGTCGGGCAGCCTCTAGCTTGCCCTCGGCGACAGATTTCTCTGCTTCGATCGAAGTCACAATATGTTGGGCCTTGTCCTTCACGACCTGAACAGAGGCTTTCACTTTCTCTGCTGCTTGAGCTGAGACAGTCACTTCTGCTAACACCTAATTGATACAAAGACAATAATTGTTCACAACTAATGTTGGTACAAACAGTACTATAAAAAGAGAAAGACGTGAATTATATCAAAATGACATCTAATTTTGAGCCTTAAGTAGCTGGCTGAAGTTCTATTTGTCAGTTTTGCAGAAAATTATAATTGGTCAACTGATTGCTAAGCAATAAATCTCTATCTCAAATTAACCACATCTGCTTTTTCCTAGTTTAAAAAAATAAAATATTATTTCATAATTAAAGAAAAAAACAAAGGTACAACTATTTTTGATGAACACTTGTTAGAAGAGATCTAATTACAGTCAAATAGTCATGTTTATATTTCACATTCATCCATTAATCACAACTCTTCATCAGGTTCATACCTCATCATGATAGTAGTCCCCAATACCTTTATTCAACTCTTTCCAATTAGCTTTTGGTGGACAAAAAGAACAAACGGTGGACTGCCGCTATCAACTTATGTCACAAGTAGTGCATATATATAAAGTAGTCTGCAGTACTGATTTATAGCGAGTAAAGAGGGGATGCCTCGATCTGCATAATCTGAATTGTTTACCAGGTCAGCCTTCTTGGAGGCTATTTCCAGTTCTTTCTCTTTGACGACCAGCTGGATGGACAGCTCTGCGACAGACTCACTAGCCTCGATCAGCTTGTCCAGACCAGTATTCATACGCTGAGCCAACTCAGAGATCTCAGAATATTTCTCAAGATATATGGACTTGTAGCCATCCAGGAAAGACAAGTAGGACTTTGGAGTTACATGGGCTTGACGACGATACCTAATATAAAGAACCAGCAGGAAGAGTTGTACCAGCAAGATAAGGTTGGGACTAGCGTGCGGGTAAGCCTGAATCCGATGACCGGGGTAATCATATATATATATATATATATATATCTGTAAAGCACTTTGAGAGGGCCTTCGGTCCTGAAAAGGGCTACCGGTATATAAGAACTAGCTATTATTATTATCATAATAGAGTCTAAACTTGTTTTGTCCCAGAAAATAATTAAATGTACCAAAACTGATATCTAAGTGCAAATCTTTTTTGTGATCATTGCATGTTTTTTATTCAAACAATAACTAAATATATTTGTAACATTCTTTTCTTCACAGCACGATGTATTTCAAACTCTGGCTTTTTCTACAGCCAATCTTGGATGTGAACTTCTATTATGAACATAAAGCACACTTCAGTTGTTCCATAGGAAGATAACAGATACGGACAGTGTTTATCTCCAATACAATAGACATCATAATGCATTCTTGCTCTCAGCTGACATGTTTACACTGACATAAGATAGTGACTTCTTAGGGCTTAAGGGGGGTTAACTCTGTGCAGAACGATGTGAATACACGCCCTTCTGGCCGGCTCTTAGAAAAAATATCAAAAATTCATTAAATCTACAAAGTTAGACCATTTAAAGCCTGTCTGTACTAGTTTGGCCAGGGGGATTAGACCTCTCTGCAAGGTCACTGACAGGTGATTATTTCATCAAATCAGCTCTCAATGAACATAAGAGAAAGGGGATCATGGGGAACAAACACGTACAGCTTAGGCATTGTTTGCTATCGGAGGGCTCAATTAGTTATAAGTAGTGCAGTCCTGCTTAACTCACCTTTCAAAGTACTCAATGCAGGTAGTGGCCACTCCATCGTGCACCTCGCCCATGGTCTGTACCACTTGAAACTTGGTCTCTGTGGGGCAGATGATCTCAAACTTGGATAGAAAGTGGTTGGACACTGCAATGAGGGCATCTTTGGGCCAGCGAGTGAACCAGTCCATCGTGCAGCCAGAGATGAGCCCAGGGAACTTGAGGGAGCGGTTGCGAAATTTCTCTCCAACCTGCATGATGAGAATTTGAAGTGAAATGTTTGTGTTGATGTGTAGGCGAAGCAAACAATCAAAATGGAGTTAAGAGTGATCTTACAATGAACATTATGTGGGATAGCAGAGAGAGAAAGAGAGAGAGACACACACACACACACACACACACATCTGGTGTACTGTCAAATATCATTTAAATACCTATGTGTAAAATTCTGCCAGTCTAAAAAATTTTGTTGTTTAAATGCCTAGAAAAGTAAATAGTCCACATAAACAAAATATTGAAATACAAAAACTTTTTTTTTTAAAACTAGGGTGGCCTTTGTTTCATGTCTCTATCAGAGAGAATATAATAGAAGAAAATCAAATGAAGAATAATGTGATGAACTAGCAGTACTTACTGGAGAGAAGCAGAGAACAATATGGAGGTTCTTGCATGCTCTGGATATGAAGTAGTCATACAAGTTGTCATTGGTTGGAGGTCGTCTGGGAAACTCTTTCTTCATGACAGAGATCAATTCCTGTGTGATCTCATCAAGTTCATCTTTGGCAAATAAGTTGGAAACCTGCGTATGGCAAAGAAAGAGAGAGAGAGAGAGAGAGAGAGAAAGAGAGTAAGGGGACAGTGTAGAGGGAGAAATGGACAGAGTAATGTAGATAAAGGGAGAAGGAGAAAGAGACAACATAAGAGATACAAAAACAGAGAAAAGGACAAAGCACAGGAGAGATCATAGGAAACAGCAACAACCCCCAAAACCAGAGATAGGGAGGGAGAATGAGAGAAACAGCAAAAGTGCAAGCACAATCAGAACTGATATCAATAACATAGTACTCACATGTTTTATATAAGAGAAGAATTAAACTATATATTGCTTTCTATGAAATATTGAGTATATTGGAGGCCGTAATTCAAGTTTGTTGCATACAACAATGTAAATTTAAGTAAAAGTACCTTATGCTATTCTCCTGCATGGGTATATGGAGAAGTCAGTGTGATTTTTTATTGTACATATCTAAATGAGAAAGGAATTTTGTTATCATGTTGCTTGGAGAGACCTTACCTCTCCAGATGACAGGACGTTGTTGAGGTACTCTAGGAAAGCCTCGTCCTTGATCTCATTGTCAGTGAAGATGAAGGTGATACCATGACCCTCTGCTCCAGCTACGCGGTACAGGTACTTCAGGTCATCCATCAAGTTGCTAGTATTGTATGACCTATATCAAACCAGTAATAAGGTCAAGGTCTAGCTGGGGCACATTTTTCACCACTAAAGTGAAGATCAGGGCCCCCGTCTTACAAAGAGTTGCGATTGATCCAAATCAATCGCAAGTTTGCAATCTCCTATCTCTTATGTACATAGTTACGATTGATATCAACTCTTTTTATTACAGGGCCCGGGGGAGTGATTATGTAATAACTATCGTTCCGGAACATTGGGTCAGTTGCTACAGAGAGATTGGGATTAATTTAATTCATAGTATATTATTCATATATATATTCAAAGGAAAAACTTCTTTTGTTAAATCTAACCTATTGCCATCAGACAGCCTACTAAATTTTTAGTTCAAAGGGTCATAGCAGGCCTACATTGATTAATAATGATATAACAAATCTACCATAAAGATTCACCTAGTCCATCATGCATTAGTGTATAAGTATTAACTAGTTTAATTGTTCATAAGCAAAACATCCCTCAAAACACCATGTACATGGGATACGCCAAAATAAATATAATTACAGTCATTTTAAGAGGGGAAAAATTACAAAGGCATTTCATAAAACCTCTGATGACTCTCAATTATCTCCTTGAATGAGGAAACTATTGCTATTGTCACATCAAAATCAGAAGAAAAGACATATAAAGCAAGAATAATTACCTTTGTTTTTGTGCTGGCTGCCCAGGAGATAAATCAACAATGAATCAAATTCAACAAAAAAAGAGAAAAATAGAGAAAGTTAAACTGGATAAAAATGCATGCAAAAACTGCATCAAGTAACAAACACAAGTGAACAAATATCAATAAACAAGGAACTAGAATATGGTTGCTCTGTGTAAAGAACAGTCGCAACTCACAACAACAGTAATTTAAATGAAAAATTCAATTTTAAGCAAAGAACACCAAAATATTTGACACAACATCTTCTAGTAACTTCACAATAAACAATTTGCCTTTGGTACAGTTTAACGTTTCATCTTAACTTTATTATGGAACATATGGTAACAACAATTATGGTAGGAATAATTGTACCAAATAAACAAAGATGAATAAAAGACACTGTATTATTCATTGCAAAGAGAAACATAATCCTGTTTATTCATTCATTAAAAACTACATGAGTGAATGATGTGATCTTGTGGTACAAACAATATATTCTGTTACTAAAATGGCTAATCTTATGTAGTTAGTGCCAATATCATGCAATTAAAGTGCCAAAATAGCTGAAAGAAAACATTCTGGAATGGTGTTAGTGGGTACATAAAGCACCATATATTATAGAAAAGTAAACAACCATCAATGAAACACTGACAATCATTAAGGGGTGCTGACTAACCTCGTAAGAGTGATTTGGAAGATCTTGTATCCTGCTATGAAGGTAGCCAACCTGGTGAGACTCTGCTTGCCTGAACCTCCAACTCCTACCAGCAGGGCACTGCCTCTGTCAGTCCGTATGATGCGAGAGATCTGAATCAAGGATCGACATAGTATTTAAGTACATGCGTGTATAAGATATCATACATGTTGCTTAAATATAGCATCTGTCTATTTGTGGCATTTATCACAGTAGCATCTTTAAATCATTGGACAATTAGATAAAATTGATACTTATTTTCTTTCATCCCTTTTTAACAATAAAAGAACTTCAAAGGGTTTTAAATTCAGTTGTAGATATTCTTTGTACTAACATATTTTTTTTTTTTAGAGATACAAGTCTAGATTAAAGAACATGCAGATTTCCTTATTATGTAAACTGCTGTCCAAATCAGTTGTTCTGTTATTTGTTGCATTTGTCTCTTGACCCTCATGCAAAAGATCAAGAATAAGTTTACAAATGCTCTGATATGACACATTTCCTAGTAATTAAATTGCATTAAAGGGAAATGGGGGGGGGGGGGGTGTCACACCCCCACACCCCCTTTTGTGGTGTCTCAGAAAAAAAAAGGGGAGTATAACTTGCCTTCACAAGATGAGTCATAGCATCCTTGAAGAAGACAAGGTCCATGTGAGCTCCACGTATTGCATCATTGTACATGGACATGTACTGCTGCAGCTTATCAGAAAGGAACTCCAAGTCAGGAACCTGTGTTCATAATGGGGGTGAAGAGAGGTCGCAATGAAAACAATCAATATTTATAATTTTATTTCATATTTCGTGTAATTAATTTTGTTCACATAAGAGAAATGTCTAATAAACACTGCATTCAAATTACAATTCTATTCTCACTATTTATAATACTATTCTCAAACATCAAATATATATATACCAATTTGAAATATTGTATGCCTTATCAAGAAGCAGGCCAACATCTGTCTACGAGAAATCATTTGAAATGGTTAATTCATAAATCATTTGGCAGTAATGCACGAGATATGATTGGATTTATTGGTTGTCATTGAAATAACTATAAGAGATTATTTTTTAGTGTATGTTCCTCTACCTTTATGTATGGCTGCACAGTTAGTACCGACAGTTACAGTACCCATATGCCATATTAAACATTTATTTCTTTATAAACTGTCATTAACATTACTCTGTAATCAATGTTTTGTTTATTTTTCTTACAATATAGAAAAAGTTAAGATCAAGATTTATTCTAGCAAATGTGAATCTAATTATCAAATACTGTATATTGGATTCATTACAAGTTCGTTGATTTTTGGAGCATCCAGGTTGGCATCTTCTGCCTCTTCTCCCGTTGGTTCAGGTGGATCTCTTAAGAAGTCCACAAAGTAGGGTTCTTGGGCTAGTTGGTCCACATAGCTCTTGCCCAGCTGCTCATTCAGGACTCTAGAGGTAGCATTCTCAAACCATTTCTTGTCTGCCTCGGTAGTGAATCTGAGGGGGATGGAAATGTTTTAACACAGATATAGTTTGAAGTTTATTTGTTCCACATTTACATCTAAAAACATTTTTTTTAAATTTTATACAAGCGTATAAGCGTAGATTACACACACAAAAGAATTAAAGATTTCAAATCAAGTATAATGTACGGAAAATAGGAACGTAGTTTCGAAATGTATAGATATTGAAAAAAATAAAAGATTTTTGGTAAGAATCTTAGGAAGATACATAATATTACATAATTTTTTACATGCTAAGATTGCTCTCCAGGTATTTATGTGCAATACTGGATGATCAATATACATAAACTTTCTCTCTTCTCAGAAACTGCTTGAATATGAATAATTCAGTTAGAATCTGTTAACCATCATTAACTGTTAACCTGCTTGTCTTTCCTCCTGACAAGTAGAGCAAATCCTGAAGTCCAACTGATTTTTCTACAAAGTATGGCTATACATCAGCGCAACTATGAAGTCTTGTGGAGCTATCTATTGAAAATTACCCAAAACATGGATCCATGTGTACAACGCCTTGTAACTGAAAGAAACAGGCCCTAAAGATATCTCTTTTGGAATGGATTGTATTCCCTAATCCCTACTGACATTAAAAAGTCAGCACCAACCTGTCAGCGATGACCCTGGTACACTCATGCTTCCAGAGAGCAAGCACGGTGGCCTGGTCGGAGCACTCCTCCCTGGCAATGTGCAGCATACCTTGCCAGATACGGGACAGATCACGCAGGTTGAAGATGTAGTGGAACTTGGCTGGAGTAGGAAGCATCTTGACCTATAATGTTATGAGAATAATAACAGAATAATATTAATGCTAAATATATTACCCATTGCGGATGTAGTATCGAAAATAATATCGCTAGCGATATTATTTTCGATACAGAATAATAGTGTTATACATAACAAACAAAAATTTACAAGGAGTTTATAAAAAGAAGCAGAGTTAACCAAACAGACATAGGGTTAGAATACCTAGAACATGTCTTGTACTTCTATAGAGCAGGGTGAAAGGTGGTGAAAATGTGAGCTAGTGATAAGTTGGGGGGTAAACTGCTGTAATTCCAAAACCCAGCAAGAGCTATATGCATGCACTAACTAGAGAGAAGTAATGTTTTGTAACTGGCCAAAAACAGTTTATTGGATTATGCCAACCTAATCCCATTGTTGATTATGAATGCAACATACAGCCGAAATTCACATACTTTTGCTTGCATGCCTGCAATTTTTTTTAATACAAATTTGTTAAAGAAAACATGTACAGTTTTCATTTCAAAACCTGAAATTATCAATACTTCCTTAAAGTCCACAAATATTTTGTAAAATGTCACTATAACCTCTCCTTTGAAGGGTTTCTCCTTTTCTCCTTATTCAGTAGAAAATGAACACGGAGCAATCCAACATTACATGCTTCTTATATATATAGAGGGCAGCATACCTTGGTTTGCTGCCACAGAACTCGAGTGACAGGCACAAGCTCTTTAATCAGCTCCATGACTTCCTCACCAAATCTAGTAGGACAGAAATACCCACTGCCAATGATTCCTGGAAATCGAAAATAAGAAAATTAAATGAAAATAAATATTCCCCCGTGAGCATCTACAAATAGGTCAAATACATAAATTTTTATGAAATGGCCATTTAGGCGAGTACAATAATTTCTGAGGTTAAATTGTATGAAGAAGTTCCCAATACAAGCCAATGCCTAGAATTTAAAGTTGAAGACATTTATAAATATATTTTTGACGGAATCCAACTTTGATTGCTTTTTTGTTGCATAATAGTTTTTAATCTTAGTATCAAATTCCCAAACAGCCAAAGATCCATGGTATCCAAATCGTTTCATAATCACGAAAATAAAACTTTCAAATCAACTTTATTTCAAAGAGAGCCTTTCAATATCATAGCTCCTCTTGACTTTGTACTAAATTCATACTATCATGACTGGATTATAAAACATATATTGAAACTATTATAGGTATAAACATTTCTTTTCTTTTACCAAATATCTTGTCAATAGAGGCATTTGAAGGGAGAGTGCAATTGAAGATGGAGAACTGTCTCTTGAGCCTCTGAGGGATGTCATTACGACCCCCACCAGGCTGGATCATTGCCCCGATGAATTGGACGTCAACGATGTTGGTGAAGTCACCTGGTTTCTCCAAGCTGTACATGCCATGCATCTCCATCATCTGTCTCACAATCTCATTAGTCACCTAAATACAGGGTGCAGCACTTTAGAAATGACAATGTACACACTTTGGGTTGTACAACAGTAACTCCTGGCTTTATCTGATCATAGATGTAGGGTTAGGTATAGTTTTTGGTACAGGGTTGAAGTTAGGAATTCGGATACTGTATGAAATTGACCGAAGAATAATTGTCGCTTCAGCAGGTGTCGTACAATCCCAATTTCCTGTATTTAAAAAATTCTCAACTTCAACCATGTACTCAACACAATACCTAGGCCCTTACCAACTACCAACACTATAACCTAAAACTTGATTATAATCCTAACCTTAAACTTACACATTTTACAAGATAAAGCCCAGTGGGAATGTCACAGGAACAAATGTCAAATCACCATCCTTTGGGGTCACTGGCTAAAGATGAATATGTACTTTTCATGTTGAAATATGAAAATACCCTTTATACCAAAATACACATTAATTAAGCATGTAAAACAACACAATACCTAACCCCTTACCACTCATCCTCTCCAAGCGCTATTGTTCTCCTTAGAACTATAAGCTAAGAAAGATACCAGCAGTCTTTTTCAAGACTACACCAACAGTCCTTTACAGGACTACACACCCTCAAGAAAGATTACCGAGAGTCTTTTTCAGGACTCCTCAATCCTCCCTTTCTTCTTCTCTCACATGGTGCACCCGCAAGCCTACTGTATAAATGTTTACTTTGTCTCTGAGAATTAGAAACAAGAAATATATTGTGGAAAGGAAATGACAGACATACCTGGTCTCCCCATTCATTGATGATCGGCATGTTGATGTCATCAACAAAGACGGTCATCTTTCTTCCTGCTGGTGGTCCATAAGTGCTTCCCATACGTTTGTCCACGTAGCTTTCAATGGTACGCTGTGATTTTAAATTGGGAAAAGGTAAATTATAGAAAACAAGACAAATGCCACTGCGTGTCCGATATGCCTGTGCCCTTCTGTGGGTGGAGGCATACAAATTTAAACTATCAATCAATAGTTCTCTACAATCAAAACACTGGTTTTAAATATATCCTATTATTTCAGTACAGAGATTTAAAAACTACAGTATTATATCTTGGGTTACCATATTTGTATCTAGACAACTAGACAGAAATATGCATAAAAACAAACCCTACAAATAATTTAATGGAACAAAACAAAATATAGATATCAAATGGTACACAGACAAACAGAACAACACATGTATTAAGAATATACACTGTAATATAAGCTAAAGGATGTGTGTTGAGAAAAAGGATTAAGTTTGTGTTTTAGTAAAGAAAGAGTGTGAATGAGAGAGACATACAGAGAAAAGCAAAATAGTTACCTGGAACATCATGGGTATTGTGGCCGAGGAGAAATTGAAGCTCTTACTAACATGTGCATCAGGATTGTAATTAGACATATAGCCCTTGATCATGACCGTCTTAGCTGTTCCTTGTTCTCCAATCAAAAGCACAGCCTTTAAAAAAAAAGGAAAAAAAGGATGAATAACAGAGCAATAACAAATAATGTGATGATTTATTTTGTGTGATGATTTATTTTGTATCATGAAGTATTAAAATGGAATAGCAGAGGCAAATATTTATATCATAGGTACACACACTTACCCACCAAAAGAGGGTGTTTTTCATGAGTCTTGTTTTGCTAAACAAAAATTGTGACTAGCTGGCTGAGTGGAATTTTGATCAAGGAGCACAACATGATATTCTTCTAAACCTCATACTTACTCAAAAATGAAATGCAGTAAACAATTGTTGACACCATTGATAATGGTGTATGATTAGATTTAGTGGTAACAACATGTGGGAGTCCTATTTGGGACCGCCGTTGATTCATTTGTGGAAAACAACAGTTCTAAAAGAGCTGAAGTTCAAGTTCATGTAGTTCAACAAACTATAGTCCTCTCCCTGAATTTGTTTTTCAATGAGTGAGTTTAATCATTTTCATATGACATAAATACTACTACTGAGAATGATATAGTTTCCATCAAATGTTTTGTTTCCAACTTTAATCTTTTGCTAAAACAAATTCATTGCCAAAGAATTTCATGAACTCCCATTTTGTGGAAAACTGGTGTATAAAGATTTAAAGAGAGCCTGCAAGATCGACAGGATGCTGATTTCAAGAATGAACTTTGTATTGATCTCCTCCCATACCTAATGAAAACTGAGTCATTATCAGCCACTATTTTACAGTATGTGATCATTTGCCCAAATTTGGAGTTACTACTTAAACGATGAAGAATATTCTGACCTTGTGCTGCTTGGCGATTGCTTCCATGAGGAAGTTTGTGCAGACATTGTCAACATTGGGTACGAGGATGGAAGAGTACTCAGGGACAGAGTCATCTGGGTACAGATATTCCTGGACTCGGTTAGACCAGTGCTCCCAAGTTCCTAAGATGGATAAATTGAAAGGATAATAATAATTATATACAGTCACATCTGTCTATAGCGACCACGCAAGGGAAATACAAAAAGTGGTCGTTGTAGACATTTTTTGGGGGGTGGCCAGCAGACGAAAAACGAGTGGCCGCTGGTCGCGTTAGGCAGGTGGTTGTTGTGCAAGGGTTCTTAACTACATGAAATCTCACGGGGGGATTTTTATTGGTCGTTATGGACAGATGGTGGCTAAGACAGGTTTGACTGTAATTATAAAAACATGGAAGAAAATACATGAGACTTGGGTGCTGAATTGGATTACACAAATATTTTGATTTCTAAAACAATTTTTGAGTTAAATCATCAGAGGATTATCCTACCTTGAACCACAAAACTAATTTTCTTCCCAACCCAAGATGAGAATGTGATACTGTTCACTTGAATATGAGTGAAATACAAGAAATACAAAATTAGGTGCAAAAAAAGGAATATTTGTACACTCATTGGGTAGATGGTAAACATTAATAAGCATAATACGGCAGGCATGTAATACGGAGCTTTTCATCAGGGCCCTGTTTCACAAAACTTGTCATCAGTGACAAATGACAGTTCTTGTTATAAGCTACTGAAATCTTTGCTTCTGTTTGGTTATAAGCAGATTTGTCACTGATTTTTGTGAAACGGGTTCCTGAACATGCTAGTAGGGCTGAACTCACCATCCTTAGTCACCACATACTCAAAGATGGTGTGTCCGCTTTCTTCTGTGACGGGAGGAAGATCCATCTTGCTTTCATGTTGTGTCATGAACTCCTCCATCCTTGCTCTGTCTTCCAGCTCCAGCAGTGCACCAAGGCTCCACATGACGGCAAAGATGAAGAGTTTCTCCAGGTGAGCTGCAGGCATGGTGGAGTGGTCATGCTCATCTTTCTTAGGGATCAGCCCTTCCAGCAGGTCGACAGCCTAAAGGGGTTTGGGTTAATTTTTGTTTACTTCAGTATGAACTACATGTATCTGCAGTAGATATTAAACTAATTGTAGCTACTTGCTCCCTCTATATAGAAAACAATGCCTAAGCAGTGCCTGTTGGTTCCCCATGATCCTCTTTTTCTTATGTTAGTTGAGAGCTGATTTGATGAGATAACCACTTGTTAGTGACCATGCTGGGTGGTCTAATCCCTCCTGGCCAAACTAGTACAGACAGGATTTAACTCTAAATAATTGATATACATAAGGATGACTAATCTCAATTTATGGTTATACATGCAGCAGTCCCCAACCTTTTCTCTCCTTTTTGTTTGTTTTGTGGAGTGCATAAGAAGGTGCAATGTGTGATGCAGCTTGATGATTAGAGTAGTTTCCTCAAGAGAGGGAAATTCTGGATCATAAACCAAGTCAGTGTTCCTTTAATTCTGGCTAAGGGACATTCCTAACTCAGCTCCTAAGATTGGAGGACAGTAGGACCTCACCTAAGAATACCAAGCTGAAAACAAGAACTACCTAATGAATCAAACCCTCTACAAACAGAGAAATATATAAATTTAAGCTTGATACAGACTGAACATGGCGATACAATGTATTTCTTCAAACTTATTTAATCTCTAAAAATATTAGCTGGATGGGCACGACTGGTGAAAGGGACTAAAACAATTTGTAAAGTAGCTAACCTGTTTGATGTAGTTACACTCCAAAGTCTCCATCTTGGGCAAGAGGTTGTGTGACACATACATGTAGATGTCATCAAAGCAATTGTGGAACAAGTTATGTAAGATGGATGCCTCTCCTGCTGCACGCTTGTTCAACCAGCTCTGAGATTTAAAGAGAGAAAAATATATTTGTTTCAGATAATAATAATGATTGTTCGTTCTTTTATAGCGCATTTTGGGACCGCAGATATATCGTTACCCCGGTCATCGGATTCAGGCTTACCCGCACACAATGTATGCACATTCTCCACTCCCTGGGGAGCATTTCAGCCAGGCGTCCTTTTTTACAAGCGCACACTTGCTCATCAAACCACATTAACTTTCGCATCCTACTGGGTATCCATCTAACACCTGGGTGGAGAGTGGCAAATGTAGTTCAATGATTTGCCAAAGGGCATTAGTGCCGCAGCAGGACTTAACTGCGGACCTTGTGATCCAGTCCGGTGACATATCCACTCGACCACGACACCTCTACAGTGATTGCGGTTTACAGTTGGGACTACAATTCCTAGACAACATGATAAGTTATAATTGTTTGATCTTAACTGTAACATTAACAATCTTCAGTAGATATGAAGATATAGGTAGGCTCAACCTTTAGTTCCAATCCAAGGTTTGTATGATTAAATTCATCTATCTCTACCATGTGTAGTAACTGGCACTCTAAAAAGTAACCATGTTATCAAACAAAGAAGCAAGAAGACTGCAAAAGGAAATTGTCCAATTTCTCTATACATCTTCTGAAATGGCATTCAATTGACTAGAATTTACTCAGCATTCTCATGGTCTATGGGAGCAGCAGCAGCAATCAGCAGGAGCAGTGTGAGGAACAGGAAAAGGAGTAAAAGCAGGAGGAAGAGCAGGGCCTCCACTTCACAAAACTCATCATCAGTGACAAATGACAGTTTTTATTATAAGCTAGTGAAATCCTTGCTTCTGATTGGTTATCAGCAGATTTGTCACTGTTTCTTGTCAATTTCCATTGAAAAAAGGCTTTGTGAAATGGGACACAGGAGCCGCAGCAGCAGAAACAGCAGCATATCAACACTAGATTCTATAACTAACCTGAAGGATTGGTCTCCAGTCCAGTGCTGAACTACTCATGTACACCATACCATTCCTTGATACAGTGGCGGGAGAGGCGTTGTCAATGTTGTGCACTTCAAAAACTACCTTGCAGTTGGGTGACATGGGGATACGATCACCGTTGGCCAGGGTCAATGTCCTGTTGTCGTCCAACACACTGTTGAGGTTCTCAATCCAGATGGCATCCACTGGTCCGTCAAGCACAATCCAGATGTGTTCACCTGGCATGACATAAACAAATATTTGTCTTTTGAAGAGAGAAACTTGACTGGATACAAGCATGGAAATTACAGGATAAAAACATAATACAATAAACAGCAAGATGAAACATCAAACCTTGAATCTCTAAATAATATAATGAAATGCAATGCACATATACCAATTTATTAATTGAAGTGATCATCAAACTTTATAGAGATCATATTTTGATGTCATCATGTACAGAAATCAAAATCTCTTAAGGCGAGGCGTCAAAAATATCGATACCAGCTGGCTTCCGCCTCACGTATTGGCGGATCGAGGCTGCAATTCCGCCCGGAGCCTGGCTGGGGCAATTAATTTTCACTTATTAGCCCAGCCGGCTTGCGCCAGGCTGGGATCTGACTTTTACCCCGGAATCTGTAATCGGCCCATCCACCCCCCGCCTGGCGGCACGTCTATAATTGGCTCAGCCAGGCTGCCGCCAAAAATAGGTTGTTAAAGTTGCAACTTTAAAGTTTCCAGCTGGCGGTCGCCGTACGGAGATGCTTAAAGTTTTAGTGGCGGTAGCCAGGCGGTGATGCTTGTAGTCCAGAATCTGCACGGTCCTTTATAATTTCCCCACACTTGATCCAAGCCGTCGAAGATGGCGTTATCAACAGACTCATAATTATGCTCACCAGCCCGCGCATATTTTTTTTACACGACTGTTTAGCCACTTCAGTCAAATATACTGTGCAAACAACTAGAGACAGAGTCTAGTATTACCCTTAGCAGTTTTGTTGGATTGCTGGAGCTGTACGTGTGTACATGTATACTCGTTATTTGTGTCGGGTTAAATCTATCCTCTATTCTCTTTCATTATGTATTTCTGTGTTCTTCTTCAATCTATCCTCTTCTCTTTTGTCATGTATTTTTTTCTTCTTCAATCTATCCTTTTTCTCATTCGTTATATTTTGTTTTTCCTTCAATCTATCCCCAGTTCTCCTTCGTTTTGTATTTCTTTTGTTCTCCTTTATTCTAACCTCTTCTCTTTTGTTTTATGTATTTCTTTGTTTCTCCTTCAATCTATCCTTTTCTCCTTCGTCATCTATTTCTTTGTTTTAATCTGATAGATTCCCTTTCTCCTTCTTTATATGTATTTCCCTACGGTTTTTCCTTAGTCTAGATCTTTAATCCTCTTAGCTCTTCAATCATGCATTTCTATGTTCTTCCTTTGACTTATCCTCTTCTCTTTCCTTATGTATTTCCTTGTTTTTCCTTCTCCATATCCTCTCCACTATCCTTGTTTTCCCCTTTCTATAATTTCCTTGCCTGTCATGGGTGTACTTGCTTGGCTTGCACATAGTGCGCTGACGACTTAGACTCTTTCACCAGAGCATTTCTTGGAATTGTTTCACGAAAATGGCTAAACAGTTGTGTAAAAAAAATATGCGCCACCAGCCCAGCCTGAGTTTCGCCGAGCGTCTTAATTTAATGATCACTCCATCATCGGCTGGTAGCAAGTAAGTAGGAATAGGTAGCGTTGGTATGGTGGAGATCAAAATTAAATAGGCCAGATTCTGGACTTTGATGCTTGAAGTTGCAACTTGTTGAAACGTACTGAGCTTTCCCTAAAAAATGGCGCTCATTTTCCGATTGTGACGTCATTTCAAGCTATGTTTACATTTCTATTCACGCCGGGCTTTGCGTACAAAAAGGGATGGACGTTAAGCAACAGATACAGTGATAGACCTTGACAAAAACTTAGCAACACCCAACAAATCTTGAATACAGAATGTTTCAAGCAAACGTGGCTGCCGTGATGCTGGGAACATAGTTTAGACGTAGCTTTGAGGGCGATTGTTATCGCGCCTTTTAAGACGAAACGCACCTGTTTTTAAATTGCTTGGATTAGCAAGTGTGCGCTTGTAAAAACGACGCTTGGCTGGAATGATCCCCCAGGGAGTATGTGTGCGGCAAAGCCTGAATCCGATGACCAGGGTAATAATTGTGAAGCGCTTCGAGAAGGCCTTCGGTCCTGAAAAGCGCTACTATAATAATATAAGAACTAGCTATTATCATAATTATTCTTGACAATTTAAGTGTATAATTTCAAATATTTCATGTCATTTTATGTCTTTATATCCACTATCTTACACCATTTAAACTTGGTGTCTACTCAGGGGCGTCTCCAAGGGGGGGGGGGTGTGGTGAAGTGCAACACACCCCCCCCCCCCCACCTGTCAGGATATTGTAGGTAAAATTGCGCTGCCGTCGGGAAAAAAGAGAAAAGGGGGAGGGAAAAAAAGAGAGGGAAATGGAAAGAAAAGAAAAAAGAAAAAGAAAAGAAAACAAGGAAAAGAAAGGAAAGAAGAGGAAGAAAGAGAAAAAAGAAAAAGAGAGAGGAAAGGAAAGAAAGGAAAAGAAAGAAAAGAACGAAAAAGACAAAAGAAGAAAAAAGAGAAAAGGGAAACAGACAAGATTAACAGTCGAAAACGGTACATTAAATCGTCTTTTTTTCCTAATTATTTAAGGAACGTCTAAGCTTCCGCGCTTCGCTCGGGAGGCCTATTCCCCACACCCCCCTTTGCGCTTTGCGCGCTCTTTAGGTGATTCGCTTGCTCACTACCGCCCCTCACTAAAATAAGATCCTAGCTCCGCGCCTGCATTAAAATATATAGCTGTGATGCTGACTAAGTTAACGAAATAATTCGTATATTTATGTCGTCGAGGAAAATGACCATTTGCGCATACGCAAGTACTAAAGATAGTCCATAGGAAAAACAATTTAGCCTTCGGCCCCGGGTTTATATGGTTAAATTTGTAGATATTAGGCATTTAATTTTGTCGGTAATTGGTGGCTATTTTTGTCCTCTACACCGTTCAACAACCGAACTGCATATTCCGATCACTATCTTTACGATTCTGAAACACTTTCCGTCGTTTTCGCACTTTTACGAGAGGGCATAATTTCCGCGTCCAAATTTTGAAGACCAAAATTTAGACACGGAAATTAACTTCCTGACACTTTCAGCAAAGGAGAAAGGGAGAAAAAGAAAAAAGAAAGAAAATTGGAATCCCGGAAACGCCCCCTTCATTTGCTAGCTTGCTGTCATTTTAATTATCTTAAAGGTAAAGACCAGTAATGGTCATGCGATTGCATTGTGAAAGAAACGTTGTGGAAAAGGTTGATCATCTAGCATCTAGCATCTGCAAGGTTCTGGAATCATCAAAATGATAAGAAATTTGGCCCATTCTTCGTAAAGTTACAAGCACTTTACACAGAAAGATGTATATGGGACTACCCTATATCTCTCACACGACCATGAGAGAAACACATTTACCAAATATATGAATTAGTAGGCGGTTTCCCGGCAAATTTGTTATCATCATGTATTAGTCAAAACATATTCTTTCACATGATTGGTCATGAGAGCTTCCATTTCATTTTTTGAAATTGGGGCGTTACCAATACTGGTCTTTACCTTTAACCAATTATTCAATACTTTTCTTATGAAAGAAATATTGAGATGTACATTATCTATATACAAGACCCAAGAGAACATCGTTTCGAATGTTGATGGAAATAATGTGACAAACCATAACCAAACGACTATTACGTCCAAAATTTACTGTAACGTTTCGCGTGTATCTGTATGAGCATAAAGCAAGTCAATTTGTAAACGAACATTGGCTAGAAAAAGAGCAGCGGATCAAAGGGGATAGGGTTAATTGAACCCTTATTTTCAAGGGGGTGTTAGAATTGTGATTTGGACATGCATGTGAATATGACAAAATCAATGACCGGGGACAGTTATCTTGAAACGCTGGGACAAATTAAAGTTCTACGTGTATCTATACAGACAAGTAGCACTGTCCCCACTCAAGGGTGAATATAATCATGCGAGCACAAGTCTTCTTTTTTTACACCTGTTTGTGTAGTCCTATATATATTTATACATATTTTTGTGTACAGTGCTTGTTACTTTACCAAAAATGAGCAAAATTTCTTATCATGTTGATGACACCATAACCTTGCAATACACACCAATGCTTTATGCGAAATCATCAACTTTTTCGAAATCAATCCACACCGTTTCTTTCACAATGCAATCGCATGACCAGAACTCAACTTTATTTTTAAATGTAGCTATATAGTCATGTTTGAGCTTATAGTGCCTAGATAATCACCGGTTAAACAAGGGAGAGGGGGATAAACTAGGTGCGCAACTCTTCGCTTTTTTCGGGGGGGGGAACTACAAATTACATACATATGTTGATATAACAACATCCAGGGAAATTACCGTCTACTTTTGTTATATATGTTTATTTAAATCGCCATATGATCTCTACAGTTAATCTTCATGTATGCTTTGATAATGCATTAACATTTCCATCATAAGCGATGACGACAAAATGTTGCAAAGCCTCTGTACATTGTCTCGTTGATGATCTACACACATCGACCCCCTCCCGCCTCCCACCGCTAATTCCCGTCGATAATGTGTACATTCATCTGAGACAAAGCATGATTGTCCAAAGGTGCGAAGCTCTTTTTCTTGGGTTGATGAATAGACGAGTAGGCATACGTTCTTTGTAACTTATAACTACCCCTAATTCCCGAAACAAGTCTTTTTCTTAGTACATATCTCTAACATGGAATAAGAATTAAATTATATATACCCAATACAAGACCCAAGAGAACATCGTTTCGAATGTTGATGGATATAATGTGAGAAATCATATTACAAACGACTTCGTCCTAAATTTACTGTAACGTTTTCACGTTTATCTGTATGAGCATAAAGCAATTCAATTTGTAAACGAACATTGCCTAGATAACGACAATGATTGAGCTTATAGATAATCAACGGTTAACCAAGGGAGAGGGGTTAAAGTAGGTGCGCAACGTTGCGTTTTGTTTTGTTTGTTTGTTTGTTTGTTTTTTTTTTTTTTTGGGGGGGGGACTACAAACGGAATATACATGTTAATAATTAATGCATAAACATTTCCATCAGAAGCGATAACGTCATGGGTTTCG